TATAAATAAGATGGATAGTTTATTAAATAATTGTATATTAAAATAATATGTTGTACTTATTTTTTACTTTTTTTAACTTAAACTAAATGTATTTTTAATTTAATGCCAGGTAAAGAAGGTAATAGAACATTTGAGCATTGTTTGGTAAAACACAAAGTCCCTGGCTACATTAGTAACCCCAGTTCATTTAGAGTATGACGCCCATGTTACCCAGTGTACATTGTAGAAATAATAAGGAATTTAGGAGAATTTCCTTTTTTTTGGCGGCATAATATCAGAGACTGTTTGTATCTTTTGTAAGATAATAGTCATCAAAAGCGCAGTATATCTAATAGACCTATTAAACAATTTACGATAGACACAGATAAGAACATACAATTTCAAAGGATTTAAAGGAATTGAATTACGTCAGTTACTGAGTGTTGGGGCATTGAGATCTGTACGAACCCCAATAGGACGATTGAAAACGAGAAGAATATTTAACGTTTAAAAATGGAAGTGCTACCTACCGTATTCAAGGGGTCGCATAAAAAACAATTTTCTCGACATTTATAAAAAAAATGAATTTTATCAAAGCAAAAATATTTGAATAAATTTATAAGTATTTCCCGTGCAATAATTACAGGTATTTACCGTGTATTCGTGAAATTAATAAAAATGTTTACGAAAAACTGTTGCTCGAGGGTAAAACAACTCGGGTTAAGGACTTATAGTTAAGAACCCAAATATTCACAGTGAAACAAAGAGAACATACACTGGTTGTGTAACGTTGGTTTTAGTTTTTGAACATCGCAGATTTTTAAGCAGTAATAACTTTTTTATTTGTGTTCGTAATACTGTAAAAATAAAACTTACGTTAAACAGTGTCTATTCTCCATATTTCGATTTGGGTTACTCGATATTCAGAGTAATTTTTCCCGTGCAAAACAGATTTTACAGTCTCTTAAATGTTTAGTAATAACTTACAATGACATAAATATTTGATTTTTTTTTTTACCACATGTCTCAACGATAAAATAAAACATTATTATTGATTGCTATGCGCGAGGCGCACCATTAATTTAAAAAAAAAAAAAATGTTATAGAAGTGTCATTACTCATTATATATGATCAAGATGAATAAGCGTAACTGTATTTATATATTGCGAAGCGTTTATTGTATAGGAAAATATAAAAAAAAAATATTCACAATAGACTTTGCAGAGACGTCTCTCGTCTAAACACCAAGAGAATCGTCGACGATGAATAATAGTAATAACTACAATAGTAAAGAAGAAGCCAATTTTTTTTTTGCGGCCTGCAAAAAAAAAAAAAAAAAAAAAAAAAAATACAAAACACAATGTTCGCCGACGACAATAATGCCAATAATAGCAATAACGTCAATAAAATCGATGAAATTCATTTCGATTTTAGTTTATTTTTTTCTCCAAACAATCGGCATAAATATAATGTAACGATATAAACGGCTAAATAAGTACGCTCTTAATATTAGGTATTTGATAGTCTTTGTGGGATGGGATGGAGGGTGGTCTGACTGCAAATTATTTGTAATAGGGGAGAATCGGAAGTTAAAAAAATAATTAAACTCACGTAGTTATTTGAAAACGTGGGAGACGAAACCCGTATTCCCTCTTCTTTGTTATATTACTGCTATGTGAAGCAGTTTTCGTTTCGGGCGTTCAAAATTATAAATATTTATGGTAAACAAAAAAAAAAATAATAAAAATATTCATTGCAATGCTTACGCGTGTAGACTGAGACCTGTCGAGTACATTTTTTCCCCTTTCCTATAATTTTGACAATATTTCAAACGACAAATAATTATTTTGTCTATTGCATAGGTAGTATATTATCGATACATGGGTTGCCAAAAAACATACGAATACACCAGATTTCACAGGGTTTTTATTTACAGTAGATCAAACATTGCGTATGAACGTGAAAATATACACCGATAATATTTTATTGTACAATTAAAAATACAATTTCACGTTTCACGGTTATTAATAAAATATTAATAATATGAATGTTATTAATGCGATAATAAATAATATTATGCAAATGACGACGCGCGTGTACGTTGAGTTGCCAGCACGACGGCGCCTAGTAGTACTGTAAATTAAGTTTTATGCGTTTATAAAGTACTGATACTTGATTGAAATAATTTTTTTTTTTTAACAATTCCATATGATATTATAATAACCACAATAGATCACCTAATATACTGTGTTTATGAAATTTTTGGAAAAATATTATCTTCTAAGAAAAGAAGGTATTTATTATTGTTGTTTTTAATATTCTTGACACACAATTGAATATACAATAACGTCATGTCTTGTATAAGTATTTTATAAAATTTAATTTCTTAAAAAGGGCTATTTTTTTAAACATTTCATTGAATTAACCAATATTTTACCTAAGTGTTCTTGGAAAAAAATCAATTTCAACAAAATCGTAACTTATTGTTAAAAAAAAATTATCATTAATGATATCGGGAATTCAATACATTTCCATACAGATATACACTTATTCAATTATTTAATCTAAAATCTTTTTTACACTATTTTTACATGGATACGGCTGGCCGAATTTAGATTTACATACATTTGATATGTGGACACCATAGGACTACATATTGTTCAGGGACATATGCTCCCGATTCAATTGCAGCTCCGTTAAATGATACGGAGATTTGTTTTCAAATTAGTTTAACAATTCTAAATTTAATAGAAGAGAAGATAGTAACTATGAAAAAATACATTAAAGACTAGTGATATTTGAACTGTGTATTTTCATTATTTGATGATCGCGTTGATGAGAAAACTAAATCCAAAATGGCAAAAATAATATTATTTAGACATATAAAATATTAGTGATCTCATTAGAGATGAGTGAAGAAAAAACTGAAGTTGATGGAGAAGATAAATCTAAAAAAAAAAAAAATGTATTTTATGTTTTGATCATATTCCCCATTTATTAAATTAAAATCTTTCGTTTGAATTACTATCTATCAATTAAATTTGTATTTAACATCTACGGAAGTTTTGTATAAGGATCCGAGTTTATGAGAAAGTACACCGGAGCACTCTTACTAAAAGCTACAATTAAAGGTGTAGACGATATTGCAGATAGAGAAGTAAAGTCAATGGGAGAATTCAATGAAAAGACGAAAAGACAAAAGACGAGAAATTGAAAAATTATGTGTAACAGACAATTCTTAATTTATTGAATAATTGTTCAGTAGATATCACCGTATCCACCATAATTTAATTTTTATAATTATATAGATTGCCCAAGATCATCGGAAGCAGCATCTAGCAGTAGAAAAGTTTTAAAACAAGATTAATACGAATTTAAAAAACTTGTTAAAATTTAAATGCATCAAGAAATATGTATTTATCAAATAATATTTTTTTTTTAGATATGAAGTAAAAACTCTAAAAACCAAAAGTTTGATGAAATTGACATTTATTACCTTTTGTTTTTCAAGAAATTGAACTGATTAAAATATTTATATAAGACATATTTTTATTGTATATTTAACGTATCAAAACTATTAAATATCTATATCTATATCTAAATAACTATAAATATCTCGCAAAAACAAATAATTTTTTTTAAAGATTTGAAATATTTTTAAATACATTTTTCATGGAAAATTCTCATATCAATAATATAAAAATCATTTAAAGTTTAGTGCTAAATACTTTATTTCTAAAATCTGAAAAACCATAAAATTACCTTTTTTGGTCATTTTTCAACCCTCTTGAGGGACGTAAAGGATGTGAGTTATCGTAATGAAATTTTGGATGCATTTTTTTCTATGACATTAAACAAATTGACGGATAACTGGATTAAATATTCTGATATTGATATATTTTTTTCTCTAATAACTAAAGACCACTCTATGTATATTAAACATGATTACAAATTAACATGTTATACACATATTTATAAACTAAACAATTTTAAGGTATTCAAAAGTCTTTTTGGCAGGTTAAATATGGGTCCATACTTCGTTCGAGGTTACATGTAGTGGTATTCAAAGAGATCATTATTAACGTTTATACCAGAAATTGCTGCTTTTCTCCGCACAATTAATAGAGAATAATTATTAAAAGAATATTTTAAATATATTTCTTGTGTGCGTGCGTGTGTGTGTGTGTGTGTGTGTGTTTTTATGACACGTAGGAATATTATTTATATAGATGCAGTGAAGTCATTTTAAACGAGATCGCATTACAAATGAGATCGTTTGGTAAAATTAAACATCAAAAAATAAAAATAAAACAACAACTTATTTAATAATTATTATGGTATACGGCATTATATAGTAAATAGTACAACTTATTAAAGAAATTATCAAATTAAAACATTTTTTATAATTTGTATAAAACATTGATACTGTAACTGTTGAGTCTGAAGCAAAAGAGTTTATACATGGGAAAGGAAATATTGCAAGGTTTGGTACTTAACCGAAAATTAAAAAAAAAATGCGTGTATAGTATACAATTTGTACAACAGCGGAAAAAAATATTAATAAGTAATAACTAAAAAATGTTTACAGGCGTGTGATTGAAAAACTAATGTACATAAATGCCATAAACCATACTATGTGTTAGTTTGGTTGCCTATATCACACTAAGGAAGGTAAAACTGTTCTCGTATATGTTAAAAATTTAAAATCAATTATTGCTAGGAGTAACATTGAATAAAAAAACAATTTACGAACTGACACCTTTTTTTTTTTTTTTTTTTATCGAATTTGACTTTCTAAGTTTTTAACAAGTCACATAATTTAACCGCAACATTTTCAATAATATTATTGAGCAATAAATACCGTATAGTATATTATCAAAACTAACACGTCATTGTGAATGTGATGTGATGTGAATGTGAAACGTACGAGACAACTTAATAAAATTCAAAAGATGGCGTTCTATAAAATGCAATTTGTCCACGTTCAAAGCGATTAAGATTAATAACAATTAATGTTGTAACTATTTTTTATAATTCTCCATTAATCGTATTAAAATTCTAAACTTACCTTCCATAACATAAACAATGCTGCCGACATCGCCCTCCTTAATAATAACACTTTCGGCGGCATATTCAACGGGATACATACAGTCCACAATCTCTCGAATCTGTGTCGATTCCAAATTTTTCATAAAATCGTTGTCCAAAATAGCGCTTTTGATCAGTTCCCTAGACCTGTAGAAAATAAATTTGAATTAATTAGCTGTAAATTGTGGTTTAATGCCAAAATTGTCTAATTAAATTGATCATAATATAGGCACGTACCGATTTAAATAAATAATAATAAAAAACAAAAATTGGTGTTAAAACAATATTGTATTGTTTATGAATTATAACCAATAATAATATTCTAAAATTGAGTTTTGAGGAATTCCAAGTGAAAATATTACCACATAACGAAGAAGTTAAACATTTATTTTAACGACCAGATCTATAGTAAAGGAGATTAGAAAAAGAAGACTGCCGTAGACGGGACATATCTGGTTGATGATATATGGATATTTTGAAGTCGATATATCGACTTTAAAATATTTTCATCAACGCGTTTTATAATATATAATACTACCAATTATATAGTTTTATCTATAAAACAGATTTAAAAAACTTTTTCTTTTGCTTGTTTAACGTGGAAACATTTTTGCTCTATTATCCGCGTGGCTTTGATGGTGGACAAAATTATTCAAAATAAACTGAGAAGATTTGGGCATGTTATGAAGAGAGAAAAATCAGAACCAGTAAAAATTGTGAAGAGAAGGAGAGAAGACCAGAAAAGAGGTGGTTGAATGAGATTGAGACAATGAGGACAGCTTGTGTATGCGAGGACGATGTGATGGAATCGGGTCAAGTGGAAGTTTAGGACGAGGGTGGTCGCACCCAAATAGTTGGAATGAATGCGAAGGAGAAAAACAGGACTATAAGAACATTAAGAATCGCGGAATAAAATTTATATAAATGCATTATTTTTCTAAACTTCAGCTACCTATCAAAACGAATAAAGATTTCTATTTTCATTTGAAACGTGACGTTTATATTATTAATAAATTTGTGTTATTGTCAGACATCGCGGTATTGTATAATTAGTAATTATTATTGTATTGTGTACAATACGTAGATGTTTTATATATTTCCGTATAATTATAAGGTTCCTGCGTGGGGAATTGAAGAGTAAAGAATATCTTCATGAGATAAAGATCATTACTCTTCATGGGTGCATGTTATAATAATTGTTGTCCGTGACATCAATATAGATTATTTACGTAATAATACCTATATTATTCCAATGTTACTTTTGAGCTTTCGTCACGATAGTGTTCATTGGATAATGAAAAATTATTTATAAAAAAGTACGACAATTTATTTAAATACATAATATATATATATATAAAACGACAAAAAATGACACATTTGTTTGATCGGTTTTTAAGTATAAGTAAATAGATACATATTTTTATTTTCAAAGATCATTAAAATGGAGTATTTTTTTAAATTTTTTTTACTTTAATTAAAACACTATAATATATTGTACATTAAAAGGCGACTTCACATGCATTTTTTTCTCTGTCTTACAAATACACAACACAGTAAAATTGCATATGGCAGAATCAACTTTTGATTTTAAATGCCAATGAGTAGCTCAAAAATCGCCTGAATGATGTGAATATTTCAGATTTCTACGATTATTTTTAACTGTTTAATGATAGAAATCGAAACCAGCTCTATTTTCACGGTTTTCTATCCTTTGCCCCCCATTAATGGAAAAACTACAAGGAAAATGAAAAGATGGCTTTTGCAAAGTATTAACTAAATTCAAAATGCAACGAAAAATGCCTAATTGTTATTTTATGATTGGAAAAATGATTGGATTGAAGAATTCTGCAAGAAAAGTTGTTTACATCAAGGGAAAAAAAATCACACATTCAAACGCACCCTATACTTATTAGTAAAAAACCTACAGATTCACAATACGTTTTTAAAATTAAAATCCGTTAAACACGCAATTCCGAAAAACGAAACAGTTTTTTTCTGGTTTTTTTTATCCAAAACGTCATATTCGTCAACGGTGTTCTATTAAACGGGTATTTTGACGACATGAAACCTATAATATAACCATTCCGAAGATCGTTTTAATGTTTGTTTTGTTTACGATCATTATGACTAAATAGCAATCATACGCGAGCATTATACGCATAATAGGTGTGCATATATAGTCTAACAAACAAACCATATACTCGGTTAAAAATAATTTTTACGAACGTAATATTTTTACTTTACGTTATGAAATTGTAAATTTAATCGACTATACAGATTTTCGGCAATGAAACACGGTATTAAAAACGCCTCGTATAAAAAACGAATAAAAAAAAACAATTATAATAGAATATGTGTCGTGTATACGATTCCATGTATAATCGTCGCCGTGGTTGAACGAATGGCAAAAAAAAAAAAAACTAGTATATTCGAGTGCTTTTTTATGTAATAATATTTCAAAAATAAAATCCTTTCAATTAGAGCACGCGTTATTTTATTTGGAACGAAAAATAATCACGTTTTATTATACAAATAATAACACTAACGAGTGGCCGTCGCTATAATTATTATAATCGTGGCAACGGACCAACATAAACGTACAGAATTATTGTTTTTTTTTACAAAGTCGTTTGAACCTATACGATGACGTATAAGTTATATATTCTAAATGTAGACAAAATATTTTATGATGCAGTTCGGTTTTTTTTTATTATTATTATTATCTATGCCATCGCGGTAAATTTCGATTTCACTATACCGACGACCGACTAGGAAGCGTATACACACGTCGGAGTAAAAAAATATCGTTTACAATATTTTTGATTTCCTTTTAAAAAAAGATTATTAATTTCCGATTGCGTTATAATAATATGTGTACAATATCCGCCTAAGTTTTTGTCACATTAAATAATACAAATAATAAATACGTACAAATTTAAATAGAAAAAAATATATTTTCCTCCTCATTTCCCCTTTTTTACTTTTCGGCATTATATACGGTTAAAAAAAAAATCGTTATATTATAGACAATATTGTTCGTATTATAATAATGAATACAGGCGAAAATCATAAAAAAAAAAAAAAGAAGGTCGATTGAACGGTGATTTTACACGGACTTTGATCGTTCAAGGTCAGCTTCTGAATAAGTACATTTATATATGCATATGTACCTTTAACAATTTTTTTTGTTCACGTCACGTAATCTTTCTCATCACGGTATTATATAGCCATATTGGCAGGTACTAAATGTGCAGTATAAGCTAAAAATGAGTTTAAAAATAGTAGACGAAAACAATAAAGCTTTATTCACTCGCGGTAACTAGGTTAATTAAAAAATAATAACAAACACAATTACAAAACGTTCGTTTAAGAGTTGACGCCAAATAGGAATAATACCGAAATATTTTCATCGCGTAATTTATAACGGACTACGTTTTTAAAAAACTAAAAAAAAAAAAAAAACCAAATCAAAAACCAACGTAAAATAACAACGGAGACAATTAACTGAACGACGAAAACTAGCGAACAATTAACTGTATAATATTATAAAACAAAGAAAACTTTTCTCTGGTCAAAAATAAATTTGGCATATTTAACATTTTTTTTTTTTTTTTTGCAGGTCTCCGGTGCATGATAATTAATAACCAGAGTGTGACTTTGATGATTTTCACCGTCACGTTAAAACGAAACAAATTTGCGATTTCGTATATTATTGTTTTTCAACGGTTTGTTGAACTTATTTTTAAATTATGTAACCAATTCACACGCGTTTCATACATACAAAATATTCGGATTAGACAAATTAAATTTTATTTGCGCCGATATCATTTATAGGTATTGAATTATTCGTTATACGTTTTCGAAATTTAATATTTCCCTACATCTATATATGATTCTGTGGTTTGAGGCAAGAAGGGCCAATATCACATTTTGTGATTGTTGAAAAATGGACTTTGAAATTTTAATTTCCTATAGGCTCGCTGTGTATTTTATTAAATGTAAATATTTGTGTAATTTTAAATTTTTATAAAAAAAAACCTTAACAATTTTCATTTAAAAAATAAAAAATTGTACACTTTTTATTTTTTAATTTATAACTGATTTTTTCAAAAACCTAACATTGGCCCTCCTTACACCAAGCCACAGAATTATATATAGATAGACTAGATGTAAATAAACATAAACGTAATAAGGTTTTTAAAGTAACTGAAGCTTGAGCCTGTACTGGCGGATTGCCATCATCTTCCCACCCCAATGGTTGCCAAAATACTTATTACTCAGTCATGATTTGGAGCTAAAACACACTTAAATCTTTTAAGTCTACCTAGTCCAGGCCCATATTTACGCCTGTCTAAAATAAGAGACTGATGGTCAACATTAAGCGTTACTTATCTATTGTTTCACTCGTTATATGCAATCAACACGGTGGCGTCTGTGGGGTTTAGTGCAAAACCATACAAATTTATTCGAAATAATCGTTTAAAACATTATACTCGGTAAATTTTCAACAAGTATGAAGTTTAAAACGTATAGTTTGTTACGATAAATACGAGTGACAACTGAATGGTCTATACATAAAGCGCTAGCGGCACACCCGATATTTACGTGGTAGTAATAGGTTAGGTTTTAGAAAAATAGCAAAATGAAGGCACCCGACGTGACAAACAACGAATATAAAAATAACAGTTCCCTATAGTTGGCCTGCACTCTACGGTTATAATAGGCTTTCTAAACATAGGGTATTATATGGTATAGTTTTGGTTGATCGTTATTCGCGAATAATACATATTCAAGACGATACCGTTTTCGAAAGTGATTTCAGAACACAACTTCGTATCAATATATAATTAAGTACAAGTGACATAGCCCGAAATTCTGCGTAACTCAGAACGTGAAACCCGACGTTTAGGTCGAATTTAGTGTTTAAACACAATTAATGAAATTTTAAAAGGAAACAATTTTCGAGAGCTGTATGGCGGTGTTTACGGCTTAAACGTATATCCCTGCAACTACGTCCACTTATCTAGATTTTATTCAGAAATGGTGTAATTTTATAATTTGATAAGTCGTTTGATGTTGTATTCATCTACATTAATTTGTTTACTGGACGATATCGATTATTATACAACATGTTGATAGGAAAATGCAATTTTAATATATTGTTACTAATTTTGTATTTCATAACGTTAATGTTAATGACTTTGTAATTCAAACGGCGCATTAGCAAACTCGTAATGTTTTTATGATTTAGTTTCGAAACCGTTTTCAATAGGCGACCTCGTAGACGGATTAAAAATCAAATAAGAACAGGTGAAAAAGTTCCTAAGACAGGCGAACACTTTGCGTTGTCCCCTACGTAGATTTTTTTTTTTGAAAAAAATCGCCAAACGAAAAAATTTACAGTCGTGTTTAATCAATTTTTATTTCTATATAAAACAGTATTAAATTGTCTATAGGTTAGCTGACATAATGTCGATCCTAACCCGACTATATAGCAACGTGTCGCCAACGACGATGCCGACAAGGCATAAACACTGACTGATACCGTTTCCCTTGCGTAACCACCCGTAACCAATTTAGGAACATACAATATACCATGCATTTGCATTCAGCGCTCATTCGCGCTTTCCAATGTTATACATCGTCGTCGATTGATACGAATAATAATAAAATTATTATCGTTATGCGTATTTATGTATGTTGTTGCTAGCGATCCGATCGCGGTTGACATTATTTTCAGTAAATAAACGTTTATGATATTATTAAAATATAATCATATTAATATTACTATAAATTCGGTCGGTTTCGTATTGCGTTACCCGCACGTATCTATACACCGAGAAAGGTTGTACCTGTATACATTATATTAAGAAGGTTAAAATGATTTAATCTCCATGGTTAAAACTGTATATTATACAATTGGAAATATTATAATATAAAGTAAAAAAAAAAAAAAAAAATGTAATACGAAACTACGAGTTTTTGTAAATAATACTCCGATAAATCGAAGTGAAAACGGATTTACATACGATATATTTTGGTGTCTAAATAAAAATATTATTATCTAGATGGGAAAAAAAAATCGAATTTAAAATTTCAAACACGTTGAAGATATTTCGACACGTTTCGTTTTGAAGGCAACACACACGAAACTTTCTGACATCCGCGATTTCGACTGTAAATTATTATTATTGTATAGGCTCGTTTGCCTCGAAATTTTAATCATTTTAATCACCGACTCTGAATTCACGGAGAGGGGAGGCATTTGGTGTATTGCGAGACGTAATTGTTGTAGATGTTTTTTTTTTTTTATATATGTATATAATTTTGTCCGAATATATATTATAACTAATAAGTAAATGAAGAAAAAAACGCATTATAATCACGTGTGTTGATGCACTACTGCTGCAGTTTATGCAGTATGTACCTCTAGCGTACTCGCCTATTATATCGTATCTAACTACGGGTCATTCGCCCGTACTACAAAATAATTGTTGCGTTTGGCTTGCGGATTAATACATTTTATAAAATACAAGGTGACGCAAATTCGAGACGAAATAAAATATATATATATATAAACGTTATACCCGCTACAGACAATAATAATAATAATGTAAAATAATGCCCCGGAGGTCTTATAATATGTATAAGTACATAGAACGACTACTCAAATGGCACGTTCGTGATATTTCACGATACGGGAAAGAGAAAAAAACACGGTGCGGTTGAAACCACCGGAATCGCAAACATGTATAAGTTTACACGTATATAATGGTATATTAGTAATATAAGAAAATTACATATTATGTGTAGTAGTGATCGTGTTTTTACATTTTCGCTCCCTTCCTCGAGATCGCCGCAGTAGTACAAAGACGCGTATATAAACTATAAATGGCCCGAACACGAATGAACATGATCGGCAAACGAATTCTGAACGGAAATTCGGTAGACAGTTCTGAGGCGGTTAAACAGAGAGGGAATGAGGGTAATCTAACATAACCTAACATTTTTTTCCACCTCGATATGTGGCGAGAAAAGGCCGTCTATCGCATCATTCAACAACGCCACATCACTTATCTTAACCATCTAACCAAGGAGTCATCGGCTTTATCCTCTTTTATATTTATAATAATATGTATTTTATCAACTATCAATACGTCATATTAAAAATCCTAAAGTTTGTTTGGATGTACGTTTGTTACCCATTATGATCGAAATGTTGAACGGATTGTGCTGAAACTTTGCATAGACGTAGTTCTAGATCAGGAATACTATACAAGTTACTCTACCCCCCCCCAGAATTCCGATCAGTTAGTTGTGCGACTAACAGTAGTCATCATAGGAACTGGTTACTTAATTCAGCATTGGATAGTAAATTTTTTTTTTTTTTTTGGCACGGGAAACGCCGTGGAACGGAAGGTTAATTTATATATATACATTAAAGAAAAATGTAATTCGTTATAATTGATTAAAAAATCATCTTCATTTCAAAATAATTTGATTGTCATTGAAAAACTGTTATCACCGTTCGTGGACCGATAAACCAATACTCGAGTTCGGTGACATGGTTATTTTTTTTTTGTCAAAACCTATATTTGACTAGACATTTTCAGTGAAAAATGTCAATAATGGCACGCGGAATTTGATGATAAAAACGTTAAACAAAATCGGATTTTAACCGACACACCGCAGTTGTTTTCAATGCAAACTCACGGTTTTCGATTTCGAATATCGAATAGCGACATAAAAAAGCGATATCGGACCATTCCTACTTAATATTCTTATAACGCGAACAATCGAGCGGCACAGAATTAATACGATTTACGCGGACGAGCGTATATTATAGTGAAAAATACGGACATATTTTGTACGCGATGGCCATCGTTATAGGCGAGAAGTTGTGGAGATAGGATATAGAGGGGAATTTAATTTCTATTTACTAGCTATATACGCGACGATAAACCAAAGTTGACGAAAAACGATTCGGAGCGAAGTTTCTTTAACAAACATACGTAAATTTTCCTGTTTTTCCGAATTATTACGAAAACCGCTTCTAAAAGTAAAAACTCTTAACACCTGGATAAAGTTTCCATTCGGAAAAAGTACTATATACTTCGGACAAGATTTCTGGTTGAAAAGTTGTTCATAGATAAACAATTTTTTTAAAAAAATTAAAGAAAAAAAAAACACCATTGTAAAACCAATGTAATTCCTCGCTCGATCCGAATCTAAAATAATGATACCGTTGTCTATAATAATAACATAATACGGTACTTGCCGAAACGACCTTCAATAATATAATTAAACACACGTTGCACACTATATATATACAATAATAATACCTATTTATAATAATAATAAATCGAAAAACGTAACGGATTTTAATACCTATAGGCATATAGAAGCGTGCCGTTTTTTTACGGGAGGGGTGGGGTGGAGAGGTCACCTAGGCGGCGTACATAATATTATTTGGCTCAGGGTCCCACCTCGCGGGTCGAAAAAAAAATCACTGCTTACCAATTGAGAGGAGAAGTGAGGAAAGGGGGGGGGGGAGAGCCGCGGACGAGGATTGACGAGAATCGCGCCGTTATCAGCAGCTATCGTTGTCGTGGTTTACACGAGGCAGATTTACGACAATCGTAAACACGGCAGGTGAAAGTTTGATTTGGTAACGTTGTCGGTGGGCATAGTATGTACCTATTATTATTATTATCATTCGAGTTCAATCGCGTCCGATAAAAACGCGATTAAAATGCGTATAAAACATGGAACAAAAACATCGTTTTCGATAACGTTTTACAAAAACTTGTTACACGGAAAAAAATCGAAAACAATGAACGAAATTTGTCTACACGTTTTTACTCCCTATTATGTATACAAACTATTCCAACTAAAAAACATTGTAGGTCACATTTTTGGGGACTTTACATACTACTCGTATAATATTTATACTTACACAATTAGTATTTTATTTAACTGTTATAGATGTGTTATTATACAAACTATATAATTGTAATTGTAATTGTAATTTTAGATTCTATTTAAAATAAATTTCCAGAAATACACAAATTTAAAAAAGATGTCTTAGTATAATGGGGACGGGTGGAGCAGCTGTTATAGATAATTTAATGTATACTTGTACGCAACGATAAACTATTGCTTACAAAAAAACGATTCTGAGTGGAGTTCGTTCAGTGGATAGTGATGCTTTGTCTACAATATATATGCAATTTTATAGTAAAGTAATTAAATAGGCTTTATATAATGTTGTACCGATTTTCCCAATTTTCCTGCGTTTTTCCCGGTTTTCCCATGTTTTATCCGATTAAAGGCCATAATACATGTTTAACTAATACGTACATTTCGTACATTTTCCCGTTTTTTTTTTCGGTTTGTCACATTTAATGAAAAAATTGAAAAATGATTACCTTAAGGTACCTTCCCACACAGATTTCCTTTGGTGAAAAAATAAAATCATTTTCGTTCATGAAAACGAATAACGAAATTTGACTACAAGTTATTACTTCTTGGTATAAAATACACAATATACTATCTGTCGATCGATGAAATATAAGACTATTATCTCGAATAGTATTAATTTTTTTCGGAATTTTGTTTGGAAAATGTCAGAAACAAGTTTCTTAGATGTGTTACATCATCCTTATTTGTTGTCACGCTTATTTCCAGAATCTAAAATCATTGTCACGTTTTGATTTTCAATGGGCAACCAATAGAAACTGTCAATAAATGAAACCGCAAGGTAGCGAAAATTGTGGTCAGTTTATATCGTTTTAAAGAAAATCTGTTAAGAATCTAGAAATTGTATTTCTTTTTTTAAATTTAAGTACCATCAGGGTGAAAAATCAGCATCTTTTAAAAGGCATTGAGAATACTGCGAATAATTTGGAACGTTTTTACTAACTGAAAATGTGTTTATCAAGGACCTCAATAAGACCTTGGCCCTCGTAATCGTTCAAGCGTAGTCGGCATCACCATTACCGCTGTCATTTGATTTCAAATTTATTTTTAATTCAGATAATATTCCACCTGGCTGCGCGACGTCCCTGTGTAAAGACACCGTAGCGCATCAGGACGCATTTTAGGAATCACAGCAATTAACACTTACGATATATATATATATATGAACATAATAGGTATGTTTATAAAATAATCACGCACCAAAGAATTCACACCTCTCGTCAAATTTTCTCAATTCATACAGTATATGGATTTGAATGGTACTTAATGTACGATTATTTTTTTCTACAGAACTATTGGACTACCATAACAGGTTATCGGTTTTATACAAGACCACACGCACTAAAATTTCATATTTAATATTATAAATCCTCGCGGTTTTACGGACTGCAGGCCGTATGGGGAGGTTTTGAAAATCGGTTTTAAAAGTAAAAAAGTTCGACGTACATAAATACATAACTGAAAGTACATCCGTATGTCTGTCCATCACACAAATCTACAGTTCTATTCCAATTTCGATAGGAAATTGCACACCCGATATTCAAAAACGAGTGGAAGGCCCCTGTCTACTTTCTATCTTGAAATTTAATCCCAAAGACTGCTGGCTCACACTTGATTTTTGATATTTTAATGTGAACAAATTGAAGTATTTTGTAGCGGATTTCTGGGTTACCTTGGCGATACGGATGAATGACGGTTAATTGGCTGCGAAGATTAACTGCGATAGGGATAAGTGTGAGAACCAGAAGACGAGCCAGGTGAATACCGGATAATTCAGCTAGTACATAATAATACATGCATGTATAATACCGTTACTCATCATTATACTATCAGGGACGTATTCCCCCTTCTATTGCTTCTTCGTTTTCAATTTTATATACTATGCGTAGATTTAAAAATAACTGCCTCACAAGGAAATCGTTGACCACAGATCCCCTCAACGCAAAAGTTATGTGTATACGCCACTGGTGATAATACCGATCGAAGAATTCGTTCTGAAACGCGTATAAGGCATCGTGGAAATGTCGAACTAATTAGACGTGCGCGCGGTGTATAAATCCGTCGATCATCAAGGTCAGTTTTATTGCATCGTGTAGTGTTTTTTTATTATTATATTTTTTACTTTATCCGTACGATAACTTTACATATAGGGATTTATCGCATAATATCTACTAAAAATGCATAGATATACTGCAGCGAAACGAACCGAACGATGTCAATTTTCACGACCGTGGATTACCGTACGTCACATTAGGTATATTTTATTAATCACATTGTGTCGTTCACCACATCGTGATTAAGTATTAATGTTATCGCGAGATTTTTATCGCTATCATTATTATCGTTATTTACATAATTACTACAGCGTTCTAGAATTTTCGTGAATTATTTTTTATCCATACATACGAATAAATAGGTAGGATCAGTTATTCGAAAATTATAAGGACAAATACAGTGATAAGGATAAAACATAATAACGATCCGAAAACGTAATTCCTATGCATATATATTTAAATTTGTATAATATTTGAATATTAAATACTACGAACTATATTAATTAATTGTATACCATTATTCCGTCTGTAAGAGCCTTCGATTTTTAATAGAAAATAAATCTCGATTTGTTATGTAAAACCCACGACGGGTAGCAGTGGCGTGGCGAAGAGATTTTCAAAACACCTAGGTGTCATGGTTGAAATCGATTGGATACTAATACGATTCTGAGCACCATATTGTTAGTCGTAGTTTATCCTTTGTTGCCAGAAATAAATAAAAGTTTTTGTGCCAGTTAGTCCCAAGTATTAATAAGAAACTTTATAGAAATAAAAAAAACACGCATCATAGTAAACCCAATAGACACATTTCTCGTTTCTCTCAGAGTCTAAAATATATGTTGTGCATAAATGTTCACGCTATCTCTGTCGGGTAGGATTTTATTTCGGGTGCAGTATGTTAATATGCGACCGGGGCTCGTTTCCGAAAACGGTTCTTATCATTTTTGGACAACTGCTTATCATCACTGCATATTATATTTGTCCCTCGATAAACCTCTGTCTACGTTTGACCGTGTGCACTCTCCACGTTCGTCGTTTTCGTTTTTACCTATTATTTTGACGTTTCTTATAACTATCAACAATGGATTTTAATTTTAAGTGAATTATATAATGTATGCATCAGAAAATCTTTTATTTTTATTTGATCGAAATAAAGTTGAATTTATATCGACGTATAATATACAGTCCGCTTTAATAGTAGTATAATAAATTATTATAACATTATGACATATGACTAAAAAAATACGTCGACGGCGAGCATCTCTCAAGGAAATTATTATCATACAATAACCGCGAAGAAACCGGAAATGAGAAGAAAAGAAAAATAATAATAATAATAAAATTTAAAAAAACCGTACACTTCCGAATGGTTTGTACCAGTGGTTTTCAATCTGTGCGTCGCGGCTCCCAGAAGCGTCGTTGTTTATTATTAAGGGAGCCGCGTCTATATAGTAAATTTATTTATTTTAATTTTTATTATTATCATTATTCGTAAGGGAGTATCTAATTTGGTTATCAAGATCAAAAGAGCCGTAGATCCAAAAAAGGTGGAAAACTACTGGTTGGTAAAATTAGTTTTCGATAGTTTGGACGAACTATATCAGATATTTCATTCGAATATTTTCTTCCTATAACCGAATAGTTTTATTTTATTCGGGAAAATTATCGACTAGTATTTAAACTAGACATCGAAGAGTTCGGTCGTGTCCATCACTAGTCCAACATTCAATAGTGTAAAGCACAATAGCTGCGTTGAGCAACCGAGTTGTGACTGAACTTCTCAATAAATGCTACCACACTAAGCGGTTCACCCACCAACGGTTTTATCGATTTATCACTATTATCAGTATTATCATAACGTCCCAAATTAATTTTTAAAATTAAATATAAACACGTGCCGTGACGTAATGTCCCAATCGCCGTTCGGCAGACATCACTTGTAAATCCTAATAAAACTAAAATAATCGAGTAATGATTATAATTAATCATAATTTTGTTTGAAGTTATTTGCATGGTACTTTTTTCACAATTTTAAAATCAAAAATTTGTATCAGTAGCCTTTCGTGTTCAAACATTTATTATGTTATTTTATCTGGCCTACCTAGAAAAGTATTTCTAGCTACGTCTCTGTTTCACGGGGTATATAGTCGAACGATTCCAAGGATCTCGGATATAACACGGGACGGTTGTAGACGACCGTTCCGACATTTTTTTCTTTCTTTTCCTATGCCCACAAAACAAACGCAATATACTTAAGTATAACTGTATGGAGTTTAGAGTATGAGTTTCGGCGGTCGAACGAGATAAAAACGGCAAAACCTTTACGTGATGACGACTAAGTCTTCGTCGTCACTATACTATACGATAATGTTATCATTAACACAATATACACGCGCGATGTCCGCGAGTATAACTCACTTTGTCGACTTCGGCACCTTGACGATGGGTAGCGGATCGGAGTCGCGGAGCGGTTCGGCCGAAATGGCATGTCGGTTGGGCCGGAATTTCACCGGGGCCTGCAGATGATGACGGTGAACGCCGTTGCCGTTGCAACAATTTCCACCGCCGCCGCACGCGAGCAAATCGTCGGACGACATTTGCATGGACATGATGTGCTGGGTGAGTGGCCGGACCACTTGCCGGAACTTGTCGATCTCGTTGCGCAGGTGCCGGACGCTGGCGTCGCGCTCGTCCAACCGGTACTCCAGACGGGCGATGTACTCGTCTTTTTTCCGGGATTCGGACGTCCGGCGGGCCAGCTCGCGCTCCAGGTCCCGCAACCTGTTCATCACGGACGTGCTCATCGCGACCAAGCGGACGGCGTCCGGATCGCACGGGGAGCGGACGGGGGCGGTCGGTTGTATAGAGCGCGCGCGCCGAACACGGGCGTGTTATAGTAAAAACGACGGGCGCGGAGATTTCACGGGGTCGGCACGCGACGACTACTAACTGTAATGGCCGTGCGGGTGTGCACAACGGACCGGCTGCGTGGTGTACGGTACAAAACACGCGCGGGACACGACGTCGGCTTTGCGGGCAGCTGCTGTGTGCACTGTCGCTTTTTTTTCGTTTGTCGCGCGCACCGGCAATAACAACCGGGTCAAGGCTGCAGCCGCTGTAAAATGATGATCAATTTCAATTCCATGCGCGCGCCGCGACGGCGTGACCGCAACGAGCGCCGTGGACTGCAAGGTCCTCCGGTCGGAACGCGAGCGCGCGCGAAAACCGGCCCCGCGACGCCGCCGGACCGAACGTCACGCGCGGACAACGGTGGAACGGCGGCGGCGTGAAAATCTGGACGGCGCAAACGTCGCCGGATTTTCCGATTTTCGCAACCTAACATCGGCACGCGCGTTATAGAAAATCTGGTCGGAACGCCGCGGCGCGATCGGAGCAAATTTAAGGGAGGGCAACTCTAATAGGTTTATAGCTCCCTACAGAAAAAAAAAAAAAGACGCCTCCGAAAATGTCTAATACGTAAATTGTAATTTTTCGGAAATTAAAAGTGTACGGATAAAGTCCTCCGATAGTCCGGCTCTGGGGCGCATAACTTTTCCTGCGACCCCCCGCCCGACGCGATTTTACACCACGGCAGAAAAATCCACAAGAGATATTCTCGATTTGCCGAGAGATAGCTCTCGTATCATTGTTATAGGTGAAAATAACAATAACTAATAAGGAGTCTCTGCGGAATTCTCGAGATGGATTCCAATTCAATATGTCGAAAATCAAACTGGGTGAACGGAAAATGTCCTCCTTGCCCCCAGTCTGGGGCACCAGTCGGAAAAAAAGGGATGAAATTAGGGGTCTCTATTTCAGATATATTTAAGAACACGAACGTACGTGTTTTTTATGGAACCGGTTTTAAAATGCGTGTTATTAAAATACCCTTGCATACACTGTGTTTAGAGCCCGCGTACTTGTGTACCCGCTTAAATATTCTGTATAACACGAGTATATGGACACCGTATATATTATATGATATAAAACATTTATCATGTAGTAATAATGAGAATTTGTATTGTATTTAATGTAATTTATGTTTCGACATTCACTAAAGTAAATTTTCCCATCACATAGACTTTCGAATTAAAATGTTATAAAAACTTCTGGACCTAAAATACACGGGTCGATGAACTTTTAACACACGTGTACACGAACTTCAAAAACACGTGTAATTAAATGCACGGGTATTCGTGGATTTTTCGAAACGCGTCACTACACTTGTAAAATATTCGGTCTAGGAAGTTACGCCGAGAAAATCATTTCGGTGCGAAATATAATTTTTAAATTGTACGCGTTATTACTATGTTGCCATTATTCTAACCTAGTAAATAAATAGTAAAAAAAAAAAATTAAAAAATACAAGGCAGAATAATTTGATGACTCGACAAAAAATACATAAATGTAGTGCGTGTTGTATACGTTTCACGGCAAAACGTCTGGGGCAGTTCGCGTAATAATATTACCGATGTAATTTTAACCGGAGAAAAAGTTTTTCCGTCGATAAAATAAGCGATCGTATAATAATATAATACGTATAGGTATAGAAAATGTCGCGTAAAAACGAAAAAAAAAAAACTGCAACGTCCACCGCGTGTTATCATTGAGTATTTTATTATATAATGCCGACAATTAAAATCCATACGATTTACGACTTGGCGTGTATTTTTTCCGACGGTGTTTGCCGCGAGCGGTTTAAAGCTTTCTTCTCTCTCTCTCTCTATCTCTCTCTTTCTCGATTTATCTGTTCTTACCTATATTTAGACGTCCTATCGACGAGCCAATTTAAAACGTAAATAATATATTATACAGGATACGATTAAATAGAAACGAAACGAATGCATAATATATAACAGTGCCGCCTCTGCCGCACCCACAACGATTCGAAAATCGAACGCGGTTTTACGGACAAATTATAATATGCCGGCTAGCGATGTGCCAGGAAAAAAATAAAATGAAAAAAAAAAAAAACAAATTCTGACGTGAGTTAATTACCGTGACCGCGGTCGAGCCCGGTGTCAAAGTTTACCCCGTCATCCGCCCACGACAAACTCCACAGGCGTCGGTTCCCGACAAATTAGCAGTGGCGTGCCCCGGGAGGAAAAGAAAGTACAGGAACAAAAGCCAAATGGTAAAAATTCGATAACGTTGTCTTTGGCGGTCCAGGGCCGTCAATTAGACGCTTAACGGCATTGAATTCGCACGTCGATACCAAACCCAAAACAATAGTCGATTTAAGTTTTCACAGAGTCCGGTATTCATTCTTCCGACACTATCAGCTATAACGTTTAGTCAATCATTGGAACAACTGTAACAACTGTCTCATTTCATTCGCTGATATACACATCTCACTTATATCATCACGTATCTATGACTATATAACACATGCTGCACTGTTTCATCTCATCACATTTCGTTTCGTCACTCATTCAAAACCGTCTCCCAGACGATATTCTCTCTACAATATTCTGACGTACCTACATACGAGTAAATAGCTAATCGGCTCAAATTCCCAGTTTATAAACTAATTAATTTTAATTTTAATTTTTGTTTTGTTGAGGGTGTCCAACCCCACGAGACAGATTTTAATTACAGTCTCCTTGTACATGTTAACAACCACGGATCGTATACGTATACATATAGTATAAAACTATAATTCGACTACGTCCCCGAGATGGATCTAAAGAACATTTAAAGGTAGAGCTGGGTGAACTATAAACGAATTTCGAGAGAGGAAAGGTCTAAAATTGATTGAATTTACTGTGCACTATATACTTAGGTATACCTGTCACGTTCAAATTTACACTGGACACCCTCCCCCCCACAATAATGGGCTTGGTATCTATTTAATTCAACTAACAAATTTAAAAAAAATCTGAGGTGAGGGCGACAGTCATTTCGACCACTTGAAATCCATCACTGCTACTTCCGTCCTCATATAATATTGAATGTCGAAACAAAAAGAAAAAGAAAATCCCACAAGTTGTTTATACGACAACTATGCATTTCTAATCCTTCAATACGGCTTCTCTACAAAAGGTTGGACACCCTATAGCAATATAGACCGAAATTCGTGAACACGAACGCGCAAAACAGAGCGGACGTTTGATGTTTCTACACTTGCGAGAAGAGGCGAATGTAAAAACTTCCATAATTCGAAAAATCTCGTCAATAAGACGAAAATAAATATCGTGCCGTACCTATAATTACCTACCTCTCAAGCACAGACTGCAGTACACCGTATACTGTGGAAAGCAAATTCCTTTCGAATAATACAGACGATGTAGTTTGTTATGAACACGAATGTTGTTTATCGCTATACACAACGTTTTATAATTATTATGTACCGCATTACAACGAACACGTTTAGTTAACATAAATATTTTTTTATATATATCCATACAATTTCACATATAATGGAAGGGGGGGGCGGTTTCAATAAAACGAGATACACTTATGAATTTGACTTTTATAAACAATACAAATATAGAATTAAATAATAAAACTTAATATATCCGCGAGCATACTTGCCGTGATTCGTTAAAAATTTTTCTTTTCGACGATTGGTTGTAAATTGTACCGAATTCCGTCGTTCCGAAATATAATTTTTTTTTATTTCACACGACAATAATTAATAAGTGAACCCGATATTAATGTTTGAAGTTTAATATCTGACTATAGACAACATAGATTTCACGGTCATACATTACTAGAGCTGGAGCTCAGTTAAGATAAAACACGTCTAAACGCTATAGCTATCCAATATCAAAGAGATAATAAATGTTTACTTGGTTGTAACGAGATGTCAACTGAACTTTAAACCGTTACTCGGAGAAAAACGCGATGGTTTTAAACTTTGCGAGCTTTAGGGCATGGGTTAAACTTAACCGATGGGTATAAAATGTTCTACACGTTATATGCTTATGCATAATACATTAGACCAAACATAGAGAGATCAAATTAAAAAATAATAATAATAATAACCTACACACCTAACTAAGCATTCGCACCCTAAAAAAATTACACCCGTTTCGGTAAACTCGAGTTTTTCAAACGCGATACGTAATATATAGAAGCCGGAAGAAAAAATGTACGCTATTTGTACTTATAGGGAACACGTCCAGTGTCGCGAAAAAAAAAGACAATCACCCGGGAGAAGAGAGGACGGTACAGATTACGATCGTTTAGTTTTTTCGAATTATGGAGGTTTTATACCGCACTGTGTGCGCAAGGATGAACAATGCGGAGGATTGGTTCTGCAAGAGTCGACGCGGGCTACGAACGCCATCCTGGAAACGATTCGTTTCATACGGCGGCCAACTATCTATCCGACCGGGTCGTTTATGAAGTCGCGCGACGCCCTAAAGATTAAATTGTCTAAATTTTTAATTTTTTTTTTTTCCATACCGAATGCGCGATAATTTACGGACTCGACGAACGGAAAACCGCGTGACGTGACGACGACGAGTTCGGGACGCGGACCGATTTACGCTTAACCGACGGGATAACGGGATAACAGGGCTTACAGGACAACTGTCGCGTACGGACACCGGTTGCACACTGCCGTTCACTACACCGGTACGGCGCGAAAAATCCAACGGACACGCGCTGGAAGGGTACGACTATAGCTGTAGTAGTACGGCAGTAGTCGGCGGCGGTGGCGGCGACTTCGTCCGCTGTCGTCGCGGGACGCTACGGCGGCGGGCGTGACGTGCGTGTCGCACACTATCGCCGTCGCTCCCACCGCGCGGACACCGGCCGCCACCTGAACTGTATGTATCAAGGTGGGCACCCACGGCCGCCCTTGTCGCACGCACACGCGCTATCGACGTTTACACGCACGCAATAATATTAATGTTTATCAACGGGCCGTTATTATTATTGTAGATTATATTGTAACGCCGATAACATAATAAATATTATTGTTCGTCCGGTTTTTGTGTTATTTTTCGAACGCGCGCCCGCGTATTTATCATGTACGGTGATAACAATATAGGTACTAGCGCCCGGAGGACAGACGTGTCCCTTACAAAAGAAACGCCCGGCACCTACGCTGCGCGCGTACTGTAATTTAGTGTGGCCGCTGATGTTATTGTGATGCGGACGTAAAGAGCCGACGAAAAGAATAGAATATTATGCAAAACTCGCCGGTGGGCGGCCGCCGGGGACCGCGCGAAATATTTCCCGGTGTATTGTGTGTGTGTGTGTGTGTGTGCGCGCGCGCGCGCGCGCCCGGAGGACTCGCGCGAACTCGGGCGATAAATGGAATACGATAAATAATCGGAAACGCGCGTGAATTATAATTATTATCGTATTATATTATTATAATACGAGACGAGAGGTCTGTACGCGGCGGACAATGCGACCCGCCGGATTTTAAACGTTTACGAACGAAAATTATAAGTGTGGGCGCTGTGAGCGCTCGGAGAATTTCGTGTCACCTGCTGCGCGCTAGTACGACGACAATAACACGGGTGCGGTGCCCGGGCCCTATAAACGGATTCGGCCCCGGGCCCTTTGCAACGTGTACCGGTTGTTCTGTTGAATAACGAGAATCACGCATACAGGGTATCCCACGAATGTACGCGTACCCGTTTTATCGGCGGCGGATTAAGCGGTACGTCGCCCGCGGGCAGAAAGAAATTCGCCGCCCATTCGTTATCGTGGTTTTTTTTTTTTTATTTTTTTTATTATTATTTATTTTATTTCTTTCAATCGAATTTATAATATTAATTAAAAAAAAAAAAAAACAGTTATTTTAAAATACGTACAACGTACGCAGACGCACAACGTGTTTAATGTAAATAACAATTTATACACAAGGGTGAATGGAAAAAAAAAAACCGGTAAGCTGTTTAAATTGTAATTCGTAAATATCGCGTTAGCTTAAGAAGTAAACATTTCGAATTTAGGTTAGGTTTTTACAGTAATATCGGTATATATTGCTAGAATATGTTTAAAAAATATTATGTAAAATCAAATTTTATTTTGAAACATATTTGAATGATTCAAATTTGTAACTGGCCTAGCGACTTAATTTGTAATTTAAAAGACGTAGGCACAATATTTTTATGTTCATTCACTGATTATTTTTCTATTGTCATAAGAGGTTAATATTAACCTTTGGTTAATTATGTTGGCGTATTACGAACATTTTCAAAAAAAAGTATACAAAATCATTGTTATAGGATGTCGAAAAACAAATTTCGGAGTGAACTGAGTAAAAAAAAAAAAAAAGTCTTTTTAATACTGGTATATTGTCCGCTGAATAAGAGTAGTATTGCAAAGCAGCGACGAGCGCCTATTTGAATTTCAAATATAGGAACCGATTTAACCGGCAGATGTGTACATTTCCAAAAGTATTATTTTTGAAAAATACAAATAGTATAAAAGTAAGTATTCATAAATTAATAACCACTAACACAATAAACTTAATTGTACCCATAGCGCCATGTTCGAGTATCCATTGACATTTGTATGGGATGCGCAGTTCCCCATAAAATTCGAGTTCAATCTATGACAATAATTAATAATTTTCTCCAAAAAAGAAACAATTAATTTGAAAATGTTGAAAACTAAATAAAGCAGTCTTCTTTTGAAGATCGAGTGGGAAAAAAATTAATAAGAAAATTTAAATTGTGATTCTTATCGTATTGTCTTATGTTCAATTAAATATGCAGTTTAATAAATTTATATGATATTCCATATCTATATATGCATAAAATTTATAAATTATTATGAATATTAATTATGTAGGTATACCTCTAAGATTTTTTTAGGTGTCTTGAAAGTGTAGGCAAGGTAAAAGTATACATATATATATAAATATACTGTACTAACGGAAAGAGAGGAATTACTTGTACTCCAAATTTTCGGAAATAATCGATTTTTTCGGTCAATCATATCCTCTATTTATAAATTTAACTCTCCGAAAATTCGGGTCTAAGTACACCACTGAATATACAATTACAATAAATTGACGGTTATACAACCTGTAATATATTTTGTTTCAATTGGGGAGGCGCTTTTAGCCTAGAACGCCCGATGGTTTTTTCAAAACTTGGCACCAATGACGGTGCCCGTATAGTACGAGACAAACGAATAAATATCAAACGTGTAGTCTGCTGAAGTTTTCTTGATATATACAAAACGTCCGGTTGACTTTTTGACGTGTATATTTTAATAATATATACACGAGTTGAGGTCGAATTTATTTTATTTAGACGGAGTAGGTATATTATTACGGTAATCTGGCAGACGCGTCTAGTGGTGTAAATGTTTACGACGATAAAACGGCTAATCCATAATACACTTGTTTCTTATAAACGGACCACGAAAACACATATAATATACACGCGTCATTAATTTATAGACACGTCCGTCGGAAAGATGTCTCCGGTATAAATGAAAAATGACGTACCGACTTTGCGCAGTACCGCAGTATTTTAACGCGATTATACACCGACGCTACGCATATAATAAGTCTATACCCACAAGCAGACACCCGCAGACTTTATTCGCTGGGAATGACTGTATTTTTTTTAAATAACTCAATAGTTATTAAGTATTACTTAAAACTAACTATCCATCCTATAAGTTATTATATAAATTAATTTAATTAACTTGTATAAAAAAATACGACTTGTCACCAAATGACACGAATCATAATTTTTCAGTTAATTCGTTTTTTTTTTTTAACACTACTTTCTTATTTTTAAATTCGTATAGATAATAAATATATAATTTTTAAATTATCTACAATGAAATTAAATTTATATTATCTAATATCGTTCAAACTCGTTCAAAGTCCTAATGTTATAAAATATAATGGAATTTTCCGTCCGACTAAACACTCGTGTACACTACACACCGGTCAGTGATATTTATTTATGTATAATAAACGGCTTTTTTTGTTGGTAATATCAGGTTTACATTTTTTAAGTATTTTACAGTAACAATAAGAACTAAAATTAAAACAAAAATAATGAAAATACTAAATAATAATAATTAGACATTGGTAAATGATGATAGTAACTAAGAAATAACACTAAATCAATAATAACATAATAATGGTAAATGATTAATTAATTTACAATGAGTTTAAGGTTGAATATATATTTCTATTAAAAACAACTCGTGGCATAAAGAAAAAATCTACGTGGTCAGTAATAAGATTTGCTAGTTTTAATGCTCTAGGGAAGAAAAAAATGTAGCTATAATTATTTTTTATGAAACGGTACATGAAATAAGTTTTAATTTCTTAAACGGTGATTTGTTATATTAAACTCAATCATAGAAAGCAAATCTAGGGAAAATAGTGACCATTCAATAAATCATAAATGAACATAATATCTGCAACTTTTTTTCTTACCTCACAATATCACACTTTACGAGTATTATACTCGTATAATATGAAGTGCACCATAATTATTGTCATATCACAGTAGGATATCGTTAATTTGATAACAGTCATCACAATAAAGTACAGAATATAGATTATATATAGTTCATCTACACCGGTGTATCAACTACGATATCACATTTTTACACTCATGTAGATAAGATTGTACTACCTTTTTCAAAGTCGTTTATGCTTTAAATTTTCTTCAGTCACTGTTTCTTTTGTGTAGTTATTGAACACTTTTTACCGAAAAGAAATAACAGTTTATTGTTTAAAAAATTTAACGTGATAATCTACATTAATATAATAAAATGTTAATTTTTAAATTATTTATCATCGTTTTCAATGCTTTTCAAATTAATGTTTAATATAATATTATTGATTTTCTTTAAATACTGAAATCGACAGTTCGGATCTATGTCAGGATAACCAAGCGGAATAAGGTGTCGGATTCTTTTATATATACGGAGCTTTAATCTCCTGCAATACTGCTGGCCGAATAATCGATCCCCACTCCTTCAACTTTTTTTGCATTTTTTACACATAAAATATGTTATTTAAGTATTACTACTTTTTTATTGGGTTAGTCTTAATATAACTATGGGTAAACCGCTAAATAAATTGTTTTATGAGTTCCATTCGTGTTTTACCTATAAGTACTTATATATTATATTTTATTTTTAGTTTTTAAATTTTGGCATAGATTTAAACGTGACAAAACATGATTTATTCATGAATTTATACATAAATTTAATTATACGTCTTTCATTATAGTATTTGGTCAACGTACTTCTTGTTGGTCTTTCTCTTGATCTAAAATCTCCCGCTGTTCTTTTGGTTCTAAGGCTATATATTATGAACTTCGTCACCATGATGTATCAGCGTATGCCTTATCATCTATCACCTCTTCATATGAAACACATCCATTTTTTTTTTTTTTAACTTAACATTTAAGTATTTTGTCACAACTATAACTTCTCTTCAACTGACTCTGTCCACATCTATTCACCATTATTTATTTTCTCAAGCCTTTTTTAGCTTTGTTTACCCAACGGTTCTTGGGGAATTTAGCAGTCGTTCTGACATAGGCTTGCGTATAGAGTATGCAGAGTATTCCAATGCATAGTTTGTCCCATAGAAGCCAAAATTATTTAATATGCATACTTGGATTGTTATTTTCGGTTAAAAACACCAGTATATAAGACCCAGTAGTATTAGTACCTATACTAATGTATATTATATTATTAATTACTCAACCTTAACCTAAAAATATCGCCAAAATCTGTTCACGTCATCGGTCGTGGTTATGTAATTAATGGTCTTCGTATACGCACGTGAAATATACGTGTTAATGCCAAAAAAACAAACATTTTCGCCGTTTAACAAATATATATATATACTACTGCGTTGACGTAAAGAAAGAACTGGAGAAATATGCGTTCCCAGTTATTGCACATTAACGTTTAGTACCAAGTATACGACTTGAAACGAGCTAAAATTAACGTGGATGGAATCATCCTTACTAACCTACCCTTTATAATTGTTTATCAAAACTACATAATATCGATAACACGTTTTAAATAATAAACAATTGCTATACTCTGTTAAATAGTTTTCACTATTGGTTTAAACCTGATAACGCTTCAAGGAAGTTATATAATATAGTGTCCACCTAAAACCTTAGTCGACGAAGCGAGGAATTTTTTTACTGAATTTTTACACTGCTTGTCCATTCACCCATCTTTTAAAAACAACTCCGCAAACAGATATAACAAATCTTCTTCTTAACGCGTGGACTATCTCCAGTTATCCCTCTCCCACTGATGAGAGTATTTTTTATATGAAATAGAATATTTTGTTCTAAAATTTAATAATTCGATGATTCACCACTTATTTACTTTTTGACAAACAGTAAGCTAAATCTCACTCTACTGGTGTCCAACGGACTACAGGTACTTTGCGCCCATTTGAATATAAAAAAAATCTCCTACAAGGAAAATCCAAGACGATTTAGATAAATTAAGGGGTGGGGGCGGTAAAAAAATTGGTTTATGATCGTCAAATTCGAACCCGGCAACTTTCATTGACACTGCTGGATCGTATACTTAAAACGAATAACGCCATATTTAGTTAATCAAATGATTCCATTTGCGTATGTGCCTCGTTTATTGTATAGAGATAGTTAATACGCTTCTCGTCACAGGAAATGGAGTCTAAGACTAGTAAATATTGTAACCTATCCTTCACCACGCAATATCGAACGCTATATAAGGCGCGAGTTTATCGATACCTTACTTATTGATTATAATATATTACAATAAGCGACTGCTCGTATAATATTATTCAAAATTAAAATATTAAATTATTCGAGCGACGAAATTATGTGTTATATTATACAGACAATAATAACAATACCTAATGACAAACACCATTGAATTATCACCTACCTGTTATGTTATCCGAGTAAGACGACACTGTAATAATATACGTTCATCGATGATTTGAATAACTATAGAAATACTAAACGTATGTGTGTGCGTGAATGTAAAACGCTCATAAATATAAATTAATTGAATGTATATTCAACGATCTGAGACAGCTATTATTAGAATTAACCTTACGGCGCCATACACAGAGGATTAAGTCGAAAATTAAAATGTATAATCATAAGGTGTTGTTCTCGTGAAATAGTTTTGACGCGAGGTCGAGACTCGTGAAACCTATTATAATCCGGTACAACGTTATAAAAACCTCGTCAGAGTTGCAAAAAGTGATTAAAGTGGAGGTGGGAGAGTAGGTCTTCAAAGTCCGGGGAGACACAAGTGGTATTGCCACTAAAGCTTTTTTTACGAAATTAGGAAAATTCGTATTATCATGTAATAAATAAATTCATTAATACTTATTGGATTACACCTAATCCAACTCAGTTTTACTTTATTTTTACTGAGCAGGCATATGTGTAGGATAATACATATTATATTTTTTATCTTTTTTTGAGGAAGTAAAGTTTACTGTTAAAACATATTAGCATAACATTAAACAAATATAACAGGTAAACAAATGTAAATGGGAACAAAATATTTTGAAAATCTTGTCATCACAATAAATTTTGTGAAAGTTTAGTTGGGTTTAGTTAGTTAACTAGTTCGTAAGGACCCTTAATTTTTGGTAAATACAACCCTTCGAAGTTTCTCACACTTTAACCACTGAACTCTGCATGGCCATATGTAAGTTTCTTAAAAAAATTAACATATTGGTAATAATAGTAGAGTTAGTTAAAACAGTCAAAATTGTATAAACATTTTTTTAAATTGTTGACAAACTTACAACTCAGTTCAGTTAGAAGTTTTCGGTGAAAATAATAACTAGAGTTAAAAAAAAGTTTAATTGTATTATTGTTTTTTTTTTTTTTTTTTTTTTTTTTTAAATTGTCACCAACCTAAAAAAAAACACATTTATTCAAAATGTAAACTAAATTATTGAACAGCAAATAATAATCAAATTGCAAACGTAATATATGTAACACTGACTTTTTCTAAAAATTGTTTTTCAGTACTATTACTTATTAGGTAACACTAAAAATTAAATCATTAAGTTCATCGGTATTAATAAATACATTTTAGACACATCAGATATCCAAAACAACGCGTCAGAAAGTTAATCGGAATTTAAACCAACTAATTAAGTTAATTAATTAAATTTATTAAATTAATTATCAAAAGTCTATTCAAATTAATAATTCTAACTTTTTAACTATTTAATGCCCGGATTTGTACGACATGTACAAGCTGAAACCGTTTTAAAGTTAAATTGAGTCAAATTAAAATTCTTACTATTTCGATGAATTACAATTTATGATTTGTATCTGACGTAAGAATAAATTGTGGAAAGATTATGGCGTTAAAAGTAAGCCAACTACGACGCGCACAAATAATATTATATTTAAAAAAAAAAAAAGGTCGTCAATAAATTATAATAATTTAAATCTCCCGCAAAACTCGTTAAATTGTCTTATTATTTTTAGCAGCACGGTCATAACTGTGTCGTTATGAAGCACCACAGTTAAAATATTTAAACTCGAAATATATATGACACCATATTTAATTGATTAGGTACTGCGTGATTCATCTTCATTATATTATTAAGTAAATAAAGTTTTATATTTTACTTAGTTTAGTAGTTTTGTTTAATATTTAAATAAATTATCAATTTTAATATATTGGAATCATTCATTAAGATTCATATAAAATTTGTTTCCATTGCTCTCATATTGTAGAAAATTGCGTTTAAACAGATTTTTGAGTGACTATATCAATTTTTGGAAAAAAAAATCAAGAAATTGCCTACATTACTATATGCACTTCTGTCTATTTACAAGTTTTCAACCGGAAATTTTGTTCCAATCGTCAACTTCATAGATGATATCTAATGGAAAATATTATCTAGTCAGTCTATTGGGAATATAATTTTTCAAATTTTCCTTACAGTTTTTTAAAAATAGGAAAACACAGGGAACAAACATCGGAAAACAGAATATAGTGTAGAATAGAATAATAGTGTTTTTATTAAATTCGATTTTTTTTCGTAATTCAGGAAAAAATAGTCGCTGAAATCTGAAAAGTATCACCGATTAGTTAGCTCTTTTGAGACGAGGTACAATTTTCAAAACTTCTGGTGTTTTTCTTTTATTTTTTGGTTTTTATCATTTTATGCTATAATAATTAATGTTAATAATTTCATTAAATAAAAAACAAAAAAATAATTTTATCTGAATACTAATTTTGAAATATATTCTTGTCAGCAATTTATGTTCAAATTCTTTAAAAATTCTAACAATTAAAATTTATTTTTTATAATTATAAACTAATATAATTTTTAATTTAAATTTATGAAAACATGTTTTGTTTTTCTTTGCAATGATTTATCGTCACACGGTACAGTATAACAACTAAATAACCCTACATACCCCATCATCCAACTTCATTATACTTAATGTATTCTACAAGTAAACAAGTTATATTAGTACAATATATAGGCAGGTACAGTATTTAGGTTAAAGAGATATCGAATTTACAAAAACTCTAGTTAAAGAAATTTATCATTCATTGTAGGCCTTGTTATCGCTTTGAATTAAACAAAAAGATATGAGAAATTATTGTGGGATTAAATGTTATGTACAATTTCGATAGTGAAATATTTAGCAAAAAAAAAAAAATATTTTAAAAAATAAAGTCTTAACTATTTAGGTCTATATACGTATCTAGCGCGTTACTGGTAGTCATTTTAGATATAATATATATACATATGATGCTTTAAATTATAACCACTGATAAAAGGAAAAAAAAAACAAATACTGTTATTTATTCAATAACAACGATAAGAGCCGAATAAGGTAAATACGGATTAAGCACAAAAAAAAAAAAATTGAAAAAAAAGATTAAACTTGCAGTAACTTACATGTATAAAAAAGTTTAAAATAAATATTTGATTCATAGGTACATAAAAACACATGCTATAGATACAGTGAAAAAACGTATCTCATACTACAAAATTATAGTAGAGAATTAATATATGATGACACCGTATATGTTATAAATTTATAATACTTTACTAAAACGATACAATTTTTTACGAAATTATTATTAACCTGTGGGCTTTATATAGAGGCATACACCGCACACGCGTTTATATATCCATTACGTTAATAAACGTGTATCGTAATTTTATGACGTCAATACGAGTCAAGTAAATAATTTATTACGCATAAATAAATATATGGAGAGCTATTTATAAGCAATGCAAACAAATTGTCTTTTAATCTAATGGTTTTTCATATCAACGGGAAATGAAAACCTAATGCCGGCATATTATTACCGTATTAGGTAAATAGTAGGTAGGTACCCCAAAATATTCCGATCGTACGGATTTAGAAATACCCGTAAAATGTAATTTAATATTTTCAACAATGTGCGTATGAGGCGTAGGCAAATACACCACCCACGCCCGTCTCGGCTCAAGTGTTTTCGCAATTCGGTTCCCCGAACGTTTAATACGGTCTTGATAAAAATCAACGAGCAATCTCAAATTAGTGTTATGGGCGTGATACCTAATCAAAATTAATTATAAGTTCCCAAACAACATTGGAATTCTTCGGCGAACTGGAGGTTCAATGTAGAAATTATTGTAGAACAAAATAATCCAGCAATCCCTTAAGTAATCCGTAACGGTGTTACGTAAAAACAAACAAAAAACTAATACTGACATAACCATTTCAATTGAATTTTGAACGAGGGGGAATGCATGGGGCTCTTTAGTACCGCCGAGTTTAAAATTAGCAGCCCCAAAAATAACCCAATGCCTAAGCTTTTTCATAGTAATGACTAAATTTTTCATCCACGTATTTCATGATTAATGAGCAGAACAAAATAAAGCCAATCTATGTGTATATGAAAAATAATATTAAAATAATTATGATATATTTCTTTTTACGACATTTAAAATGAAATGTGTAGTTTTTTATTGTAAAAATCGTATAAAGAGGATTGCGGGAGCACACCCTCAAAGTCGGAAGTTTAGTTGCGCCTATGCCGGTGTTATTAAGTAAAATATGCTTTTAAAAAAAAAATTACTATTATATGAAATATGACAGTTAACTACTATACGCCATTAAAAGGTATATATATAAAATGAGAAAATATTAAATGTACAATGAAATATAAAAATACAAAATAAATATGATTAAATGCGCACACGATGAAGAACGTGCTCCGGTAAAAACTGATCCTTTTGCAGTTTTGAGGACCGAGGTCCATGTCCCCGCCTTGCCCCTCTTCCCCTCCATTTTAATCCGGGCTCGCATGAGTATAAAATCTGACCGATAATATTGGAGTCTCGAAACTATACGATTACGGAATAATTGTATGGTTTACATAATATTACATACTATTTGATATTTAAATTTATAAGAGAACAATTTTGACGGAGTTTATGAAAAATACATAAGAACGCGAAATCTCCGTCATAAGGAGACTGAAAATCGCACAAAAACACAAAACACACATGTTGACAATTTTTTTTTTTTCTGTTACAATTTATATTGTAATGGATTCAAATAGAATTTTCCTAAACACTATTAATTTCCACTACTTACGACTTCTCTCATATTATTAAAATGTAATAATGAATACATCGAATACAATTTTTTTTATTCGATATCTAAGTAAATAGGTACAATTTATAAACATATTTACCTAAGCAGGCTACCCAATGACGGTGACAATATTAATAATTGCGATTTTATTCGATTCGACTTATAAGTTTGACAATAGTCAAGTTATAGATAAAAATCAGTTTAGAACGATTTTAATACATTTTCTAAATAATTGAACAATGTTTTTCGATGTTTAACGCGCATACGAGTTTTGAAACGTAACAAACTTGATTTTTGTACTAAAAATAGTATTTAATATCTTCTGACTACGGCAAGTCTTCAAAGAGTGCCAGTAAACGAAACATTTTAATGGGTTCTGGTAGTCCGATTTTATTATTTTATTTTCATTAAATGTCCATAAATCCGAAAAACACTCGAAATATACATTTTAAAAACAATCGAGTATTGTTTTTCCGGGAACTTTTCTTTACGTATACCTGTATCGAGGGTTCCTAAATAATAAAAGAATACGCGAATTTGAAACCGGCCGTAGTTTTTACGATCAATAAAACTGAGAGGACGTGGGGCTGATATGAAAAACCTCTTCTGACGCAATTGCGGTGTCCATAGATTTAATAGAATAAAAAATAAATTACGATAAAGATATCTATTTACGATCAAGGGTTAGTCATCGAGGGTGAGATTAACAATACCGACGAATAAAAAAATATAATAGTAATGCAACCTCGTAGAGAAAAAAAAAACACAGACAGGGTGGAATCTACGAGACTCATCACCGAAACCTTATGGTGTGAAGAAATTAACGACCCAATATGGGCAGACGCGTTAAGAAAGCGAACGGAAACTTGTTTGTTTGTATATACAATACATTTTTTACTCGTATACGTCGAACGAAGAACGTCGAAGGACATTCCGGACACTGAATTTTGATATATTATTTCGAAGTTTTCACTGGACAATGTCAACGTTTCTTGTTTGAAAACCGCTCGGACGGTTCGGGATAAGTCCAACGAACCTAGAGGAGATAATATTATCGCGACGGTAATATTATTGGGCAAATCGATCAAAAGAACTAAAATGTCACAAATATAGATTAAGTTTCACTGCAGATAAAATAGCATAAATAATTGTGTCTATAATTTAATAAATAATTTCTTATGTTAATTTAACATTAGATATTTCATTAATATCAAAATAATAAATCGTATTTTGTCGTACGTTTCATTTTTGATTTTCGTCGAAATGTTTAATAAATCTTGGCGATTCATTAAATATCACATCAAGATAACATCGCTATTTATTGTTTTTAGACAGCATGTCTGTACGTTCGCGCACTAGCGTTTGAACGCAAACGAATTTTCGAGTTCGATTTTTCGCAATAGCTTCTACGCCGTCAAGTTGAATATAAGTTGCAAACGGTCCTCGGGCAGCTGTAACTTGCGATGAATTGTTCTTGTTTTATTTTATTTTTTTTTTTTGTTTATTATTTATTTATTTATTAAATTGTTTATTTATTTATCGACATAATATTATGTATTTTGTATAGCACCGGTTTCGCTTTAAAGTCACATAATACGAAACGTCGAAACAATATTTTATAATATTAACTCGTAACTTACAGCGACATCTAGCTACTGTCAGCGTCGAGCGGACGGTCATCGTCGGCCGCCAGATGGCGCCCAAGCCCGACGACACCAGTCGCACAACAATGTCACAAAACAATAATAAAATAGGTATTGTCTATTTGTTCGGAACGGCTGCAGCTGCGCAGTAAATCGTTACGTTTGTTTTTCACCGAACGGGACGTCGTCCCCGGCGTAATCTCACCACCGAGCCGGTCAAATTCCGCCGATATCGCGGCAATAGCACGACGAAAACGGTTTTTGGTCGGAAAAAAAAAAATTAAAAAAAAAATCTAATCATATTATATTATAACGCGTTTGTTTTTAGATTTTCGACCGTTTATTATCGTTCCCCGTTCCCTTCCACCGTCAATTATTCAAACGATTATCTGAAATACGTCCGCGAGTACAATAATATTGTCGGGAAAAGGTCCCGTACACCACGTGTGCAACACGATAACAATAACAACGAAAACAATAATAACAATAATAATAATAATAATATTATGGTGTCGTGTTGTTGTTATTGTTGTTGATGTTGTCGTTACGTATACCGGTGGTATTTACGAAAATCGGAGACGACGACCGGCAACGAGCCGACGGAATAATGAACGAGAAATTTGGCATCGCCGCCGCCGCCGCCGCCGACGGATAGCATCGCGTCGACACCGGGTCCACCGCGCTTCAAGGTCGACTCGATTAGAAATAATAATACTCTATTTTTATAACACGCAGATTTTTTTTTTTTTTCTGATTTTTTATAACGTTAAATAAACATTATTCTTAAGCCGGAAAACTCGGTCGGGCTCGTGTATTGATATTAAGTCATACGAACGGTCGGCAATACAACTAGACACCAGTGGCGGATTCAAGGGGAGGGGGCCGAGAGGGCCCGGTACTCCTCCCCCCCCCCCATTGACAGTTACGTTATATTTGTAGTTGTAATAATATGAGCTAATAATGATTATAAATCGTCGTTCAAATAATTGCGGTTAGACCAATATTATTACGATAGTCGTAAATAATGTCGATTGTAATCTAGATGTATATAATATTTAGCGTTCATTGTTAAAAAATGATATGAACAATTTTGGGCCCCTCCCCTCAAAAAAAAATAATCCTATATCCGCCTCACTCGTATGTACAGCGCGTTTGTTGGGTTTTAGATTCTGAGCGGAGCGGCGGAATGTATTGGAGTTCCTAGTGTCTTACCTGGTGCTCGATTTTTTTTTTTCGGTGTTAGTACACGACTTATCTACCGGTTATCTTGTTCGGATCGCAAAACGACAAGAGAGTTTTATTTATGGCATTTTGAATCTGGTCGGTGCGTTTTTGAGTTGTGGTTTTTTTTTTATATATTTTCCAACCCGTTTTCATAATAATTGGCAGAGAAAGCGGGTAAATTTACGGGAATAGCAGTTTCGTCAATTGCACGTGACTCGCAGGAGAAAAAATATCAAATTTTTTTCATAGCTAATAAAAAACGACCGATTAGAAAATAATTCAAAAACCGTAAATCTAAAATTAAAATCTTTTTCAAATCAATAGTTTTCCTTTTATGTTTTATCGTTAACTATAAAACAATGGGCGATACACCCAATTTATGCGAGCCTGGAATTGTGAGATGGGAGATCGTGTCAAGTGGAAGTTTAGGGTGGCCGAACCCAAATAGCTGGGATGAGGACGAAGGAGATCAAAAAGACGGAAAAACAATGAATCACGTGAAGAATAAAAAAATCTAGCAAAATCGAAATTCACGACTGATGATTTCTTCATTTTGACCCGTAACCACGTGGGCGTCCGCGCAGATATTTACTGCTCTTTTATTTTTATTGCTCAATACTTGACCAGGCGAACAACGTCGGGATCATGTGTACTCGCGTACGATAGTCGCGTGGGTGATTAGAGAACGCAGAGAACGCGGAAGAAAAAAAACCGTTCCGGACCTTCTAATAAAAGAGTAATTTGTGCTGGCACTGTGGCCAAGGGTCTGGTTCGATGCCTCGTTCGGAAATCGGCCGAGCGTTTTAGCAATAAATACGAAACGGCAGAGTCACCCGTGAAGGTAGGAACGAAGTGACGTCACGGAGATTAAACAAAGCGCAGATTCGGCCGCAGTGTCTATAATGTTTTAACGATACCAAAGAGTCACAGGTGACTCAAATTTTGAGCGGTGGCCGGTATTATTCCAAGGGTGCGATATCACTGATTCGATATACGTCCCGGAGGTTTTTCGGGAGGGGGTCTGGAACGCTGGCATTTTCCCGCATTTCGGGCTTTCGTTCGGGATTCGCGTGCTCGGGGGGTTCGATTACCGTATTTTATTTGTTTCGCGACCGTCCGTTTATGCCGGCGAAAAACGCTCCGGCGTCACATCATCGCCGGGCGAATGCCAACTTTTTCAGCATACATACCGCAGATTTACACCGGCGCAACAGACGTATATTGTATCGCAACGGAGGTGAACACTGCGCCCACATTCGGCGCAACAGTCGACCGTGCCCTAACCCGACCGATCCGTGCGTGTGCGTCAACCCGGGAATCTACAGACCGTTTAAATGTCGGCCAACGCGTTTTCCGTTACTTCCGGCGCGACCACAATATTACTATCGTGGTTTAATAACAGATTTGTACGAACGCATTACACGGCTGTAGAAGTCATCGGTCGCGACGGACTTTTAATATTTTTTATTGCCTTTTTTTTTTTTTTTTTTTCTGTTACGGCTCTCCGACAGACTCTCCGGCTCTCTCTCTCTCTCTCTGACCAGGCGCGATCGCGTCGGTTCGAAAAACATTACAGCGACACTATTTATGTATATCATACCGTCTTATTGATGTACTATTAATATTATACATCCCAAACAAATGCAGGAAGTACAACGCGCAATTCAACGTCTCCGTCTCTCCCGTGCCGCATTCCGCGTCAATTATGATATTACGCTATCGCGTTTACGACCGCGGTTTGTTTACAGCTATTATTACGCACGAATCGACTTTTTATACGCGGCCCGAGCATATTAATAATATAATATAATAATATTATCGATGATATCACCGTCGTCGTCGCCGTCGTCGTCGTTAATAGATTTTTCCGTCCGTCTTTTTGTTTTTTACACGTACACATTATTACTGCAATATTATAATAATACGTATGTATATAAATATTTTTTTTTTTACTGCGGAATTCGATTATTATATTATTACAATAATATACACAATGATCAGTCGCTCAATTGAAACTATCCTCGTTCCTCGTATACATGAAAACAACATTGTTCTTTTCAAGAGTCTAATATAGAAGATAACGGGTCTAAGATCTGTACGCGACGATTGTTAACGAAAAACCGTTTTGAACGATTAAGCATAATATTATATCATATCGAAAACTTCAGGTCTGCACGATTATTTTCAACCAAATTACCCAAATCGAAAATAACGAAAACCGTAATTGTAATAAAAACCAACCTTCGCAGCAATGCACCGATTATATACAAAATGCTACGAAAAAGCACGCTTATCATTTTTCGATTGGAGCGGAATTGCAGCAAGTAAACTTTATTTACAAACAGATAAAAAATTAAATAAAAATCGCACACATCATAGTAAAACCAATTCATTCCTCACTGCGCTTAGAATCTAAAATGAAAATATAATTATACTAACATAGGTACCTGAACACAAGGTCGGTCATATCGTGAGAAGAAAAAAAGAAACTATCAGAGCAGTAACAGAACGGAAGATGAATGGGAAAGACCTCAAGGAAGAGAAAAGAAAAACATTGCTAGACGTAGTAAAATAGAACTTGAAAGCTCTGGAAGTGAAAACATGGAAGGAAGTTGTGTAAGACTGAGAGAAATGGAGGGATATAGTAATGGCGGCAAAGACTCAAAATAGAATTTTAAATGCCAGTGAAGAAGAAGAATAAATTAATACTTAACGTAGTTTACAATTCAAAATAACCAAGTTATTTGTTGGGTTGAATTTAAAAAAAAAAAAAAAAATAATAATAATAATAACTCTGATAAATGAAATCAAAGGCCAAGAGTTAAAATTAACTTCAAGTTTTTGAATTCGTTAATGCCCGGCAACCATATATGTAATAAATAATACATTACAACAGGGGTCCTCAAAGTGTGCGCCTTGTAACCATATTGAATATTTATTGGTCAAACGACAAATTTAAAACCGAAAGCGGGAACAGCGAGAACGGTGAGGCCGGAGTCCTTTTTTTAAAATTTTTTTCAAAAACACTTTTTCCGTTTCCGTTAGAAAAATGTTCCAAACTATTCGCACTGTACCCTGAAAGTTGCGGATGACTAGTAATACTCAAAATTTTAAAAAAAATGTCTAGATTTTTAACACATTAACTTAAAAAAAAAAAAAAAAAAAATTGACAACAATAGTCAAATTGTTGAATACATCGGTTTTATTTACCTCAGTTACTTTGGCTATAAAATGGAATAAAAACCGCGACCAATACCAGTCCGATCAGAATAGGTTTTTGATTTCAACGAATTGCAATGATGCCCCGAGAAAACCTTAGTTCAAAAATGGAGCCATGAGTCGAAAGTCTGAGAAGCACTGCATTACAATATTATTACGCCGCAGGAATAATAATAATAATAAAAAAAAAAACATTATACACAATATAATATTATTATTAACAATATTATAAAATATGTAGTAAAAAATAAAAACTGACAAGCCCGCGACCTGATATGAAATATAATAATATCATTTCGTTCTTGGAAATATTCGTCGAGAATAATATAATGAAATCAAATAAATATAGACGAACGAATATCTGGCGAGATTAAAAATGTAATATATTTAATGGATCGAGTGTATGTTTTAAGAAAAATAAAAAATTTAAAACTGTCCAATGCGATAACTTCAATATTACAGTATACTGATTTTTTTTTTTATTCGTCTCCGCAGCTATCCCGCAACATAATATAATATATATATATATGTATAGTATCAGTATGCAATATAATATTGTGACCTAGTCTACAGGTTATTAGGTTCGAATCACAAAAAAATAAAAAATAAATAAAATAATAATAAACAATATAATATTATATTCGTGTACGATATCATACGGTAGCAGAGTCCGCGACGTCGGTTTTAACTTGTTGGTTATTGTTTTTCGCTATTATCATAATATTAAAACAACAATATGTGAATGAACAACACAAGATTATATTATATTGTGAAATGGTTTGGGTTTTTTTTGTTTTTTTTTAATTAAATAAGAAACAAAAAAAAATAGGAATATTTCTTTATATCATTATGTAACGATAATAATTATTAGAATATAATTTTTACAAGGTTTTAAATGCACGTCACGCCAGATAAAGAAAATTACAAATCAAAACAAATATGGAAAACATTTTAAATTCTGAGCGAAGCAAAGAACGTATTTAAAACGTATTACGGATTTACTGTAATATGATGTAGTTTTGTGTCTGAAACATCTTTTCTACCAATAACTTTGATAAAAATAAATCAAATTATCTTCGGAAACATTTTGATGAAATGTGTATAAAAAAAAAATTCTAACCGGATCAAATTATCTCCGGGGATTTTACTACAACTACAGTATTACCACAGAAAAGATATTCTGTGATATTTCAACACGCTATTTTACATCGGCCAATCAGAAATCATATTTTAACCGTGCAATTCAAACCAGTCAACAGGGACAATTTGATCCAGCGGAGCATTTTGATTCGTTTGAAAATAAGATTAAATTTTCTAAACGGATCAAAAAGTCTCTAAAATTAATCAAATCATCCCTACCGGATCAAACTGTCCCGTTACCAATGAGTATATAAAACATTTTCCGATTTTTTAAACAATTTCCACTGCATCCATAAAAAGCTGGAGATCAATCCAGATAATACCGACTTAAATTGCTGACTGGTTCAAATTCCTGAGTTGCTATCCCCTCCAAATAAAAACAAATTACGCTACTGTGTTTAATCATTTTATATAACATCTAAATATTTTATTGATGAATTGATACGATAGGATAAACATTGTTGTTGTACAACTGATTGACTAATAACTACTAATAAGTTACCTGGGTATGAATGAATTATTCTAGTGCGCCGAGGTTCGATTGAAGAAACGTGAGGTGTTTTTTTTAAAAAATAAACTAATAAATTATTAGTATTATTATTAGTACTAATACAATAGACACATGCAATATATTGTTAAAACGTGACTAAAATAAACAATTTATAGTTATTTTTCTATTTCGATAATATTGTAGTAGGTACACACAAAGTACATACTATGAAGTATTTTTGTAATATTAAGACTCTTAAAAAATTGAGAAGGTAGCAGGACTATGCATGGGGGTAAGACAAGGAGGCAACTTGTTTAGGTAGAACACGATTACATACGTTGTAGTTAGGTTAAAACCTTAAAACCTTAAAGAAAAAAAATAAACACGATTGCGTATGAAATTGTATACAACGTTGTCAAATTTATTAATTTCACCATATACCTAATAAATAAATATTCGGTACAGTTCTATAATAATTAATATAAAATAATAAAATATAGGTAATGAAAATAATTAAATAATAGTTAATTAATTATTTTAAAATACCTAAATTTAAACTTCTTGACATCTATAATTTACTACTTTTAAACACTGGATAAGATTTTTATGGGTTTTGCACTCATCATAAGCGTTTATAATATTATGTTTAATTTTATCTAAGTCTTTTTTTTGATATTTTTTTTATTCTCTTATTAATTAACCGATTGTATAATCGATCTTGTCTGTATTTTTTTTCTTTTAATATTCCAATGACAACACGTGAAAGAACTAATTTCTTTTTCAGATTCTATAAGTTTAATTGTATTTTCCATATTTCTAAACGTCGCATGTGACGATGGACGACGAACTGAAAGCCAGAAAATATTTATATCGGAATTAACAAAATTTCGTTTTATCTAATATATTTTTAAGATGCCTGAATCTGATATTATTAACGATAAACGTAGGTAACAAAGCTTAATGGTTATGAAAATATGCAAAGTTGAAAGTATTTATAAATTATTTCTGGTTCACTCGTGTAGTTGTGTGGTATATACTGGTATGAAAATTGGAAACAACGCTTAATATTTAGTACGCAATCTTCTAGGTAAAAATGTACGCAATTGTATAACTTAAAAAGGTATCACCGATAACGAACGTACGCAATCGTGTTTTACCCACTTAAATGGCACCCTTGATGAGATGCCAAATTTTAGACAGATATCGAATTTAGGCACTAAATATGATGATTGCCCTAGCGAGTCAATGTTATTTAACATGGCACTGGAAAATGGCTTAATACAGGGTAATAATTTAGGCTATATAATAAACTGCGTGCAGCGATATATAATTAAAATGATCAAAACGAAAAAAAATTTGATACATCGTAAACAAAAAACAACTCTGAGCGAAGTTCGTTTAACAATAAATTGTTTGTTTAATTAAAATTGAAAATTACGATACTTAATAATTTGTAATTATATATAGAATAAATTTAAATCGTTCATTTTGTTTAACGAATTTAATCATAAATTTGAACTTAAAACGCTGATAATAAAAAAATTACAAATAAAATATGTACACAATACATATAAGACCAACTCCAAAAATTTCAAATAGCTATAATAATTCTACAAATGCCAAAACAATTTGAAAATTTCACAATATTTAGAACGTGATAACATTATGGTATTCTGAGTTTCGAGTTTCTAAAAAAAAAAAAAAAAAAAAAAAACAAACAAACACAACTAAAACCATTATAACGTAAATATTTCCGGTTTTCACAATTATTAAGAAAACTCACTAAAAATCAAAAAAATTATCGCCTTAATGCACCTGCAACTATACAAAATTTGTTACCTAGAGAAATATGTTTTTTTTTACTCGTTACTTATAATGATAAGTCTCTTGTCTTACTTTTTATTTTAAAAAATGCAATTTCACCAGGTAAATAAAATTTATAAGTTTCAGACTATTATGGTAGAAATTCTAAGAATTGTCATTTTATTAAACAGGTCCCTGAAGTCGATGATTTCTGTTGGACAAGCGGTTCACCGATAGAAAAAAACACATATTATTATAACTACTCGCGTCTCTCAAAATTTAAAAAAAAAAATTCGTTTGACTGATCAAATATTTAATCGATATGCGGTATAAATTAATAATATAGAGAATACATATTACTATTATTATTATTATTATTATTATTAGCATCAAGAATAGTCAAATAAAAAAAAAAAGAAATCATAGTTCATAAATCATAATAACGTTCAACTCGCGTTCTATAAATATCAATTTGTCGTTGACGCATACCTATTTAAAAAAAAAAAAATAATAATAATATAATATCTACTATATTATTTACGACGGCATGAACGACTTTCGTTTAGTATTATTATTATTTATGGCATAGGGTAGATAAGAGGTCGTATTTTACTGATAACAGTTGTTTAACCACGAGCATTATTATTATTCCTCCTACCGCGTATACACGTAGGTACCTATATTATATTATTCTGTTAACTGAGTTGTATACTTATATTCGGTCTAAAAGTAAAAACTCAAATAAAAAGTACATAACCGGCAAAAAAAAATTTAAAAAATGATAAGTCATTGTTGCATAATATTATAATAAAAAAAAAACAATTCCGTGCGATGTTCAGGTTTATTTCGTACTAAAAGTACACACTACTAGGTGTATAGTATTTATCGGATAGTTTTTTTTTCCTAATCATTTTTAAGTGCTCGTAAAAAACAAATAGTGAATAGGTATAGTAATTTTCGAATAATGTCACGAATAATAATAAATACGATATCTGCGAGTACCCTACTGATTAACCGCGTGTTACCTACTTTATACTACACATTTTATTCCAATGCGCTTTAATAAGTGTGATGGCGATGAGACAGATTTATCGTATATAATGATAAAATATTCTAAATGTGCACAAATACACAAATGTCAAACACCATTCATTTATAGTAGTATGGCCAATAATATAATACTATTATTGAAAATATTGCATGCAACTTATTTATTTCAACTATAAAACTGTCAGGTGACTTAAATGTTTTAAAAAGAGGATTATGAAAGACAATTACCCATCATAAACAACATCACTTGATAGTTAAAAATTATAATTCATATATTGTATACATATACAATGTATTTAACCGAAATTCAAAATTTTTCTAACTGATTTTATAATGGAACTATACGCGAATCTGCGATTTTAGTTTTCACTATCCAATGTTTAACATTAGCAACATACATATCAATAAACATTTTGTTTAGTAAACTATTTTAGTATATTTCTTTTTATTCGTTTTGACGTAATTTAATGCAGTTTAGAATACGTACACCAATAATATTCGTATTAAATATACCCAAACACACGCAAAAAGAAACAATAAATTTGTATACTTAGTACTATTGAAATAATATAAATAAATAAATATTGGTTCACAGCTGCTATAACGAGCAAAAGTACATTTATACCAACTATGTAACCCGCATAAACTTGTATAGAATAGCCAGGTTAGACATATAATTATAATCATTTAAATATAAAATATAATTTAAAACTTTTCAAATTATAACAATGACCAATTTTATACACGAATCCGTATTTTATTTAAATTTTTTTTTTAACATTGATGTATTACTACATTTAGCACTTTTTCTAAAGGGAAATTTGACTGGAACCTCCCCAGTTTAAAGAGGTCATTTTTCGATTTTCCCAGGAATTTTCCCGATAAATGGAAAAAAACAAGAAAAAACATTGGAAAATCGTAGGAAAAACGGGAAACTAGGTATAATATTAAACAAATTTATTAAATAACAAACATAATAATGCCTATGTAATTATTTTATTATAATATGACATATATATTGTTTATGAAGAAACACTATAAACTGAATTCCGCTCAAAATCGTTTTTTCGATAGCAATAATTTATCGTTGCTTATAGATATACATAAATTTTCTCTAAACTATCTTCCCAACTTTTCTCCTATAACAGTGGTTGCAGCCACGTGCGAGGTTACCCAGCTTTTTTGTTTTAATTCCAATACAAATGTTCACAGAGACATGAAGTGTAAGCAGAAAACTTATATTTGCCTTTTATAGACGTAGTAAAATGTGTAAAACATTTGAGTCAATTTTGAGCTATTAATAGACATTTTAATTTTGCGAGTTTTTTACGTAATTTTTTTTCGGTAGGTATTCTGTGGATACAATTGTTAGACCAAACAGAAATTATTGAAAATTTAACAGGAGATTTATTAAAACTTGTACTTAGTGGGCAACAAGAAAAAGTTGAGTTTAATGTAGTATTTTTTTTTTTTTTATAAGAATTTTAATATCAAATTTTATAAATAGAATTAACACTTTAATTATTACATCAAATACGAATATCCGTTTAGATATTAAATATGAATATTCAACTATAGCTACCAGCTATAATTATGTAGTTCATCTACTATCCCAAATTTTTTAGTGTACCGGGAGAATTATTTATATTTTTATTATACATACTTATATTTTACACTTAAACATTTTTTAAATGTCGTTCATTCATCGAGTATGGCTACTTTGAGTCTGGGTTTTTTGTCCGTAATATTTGTGTTTTGCCTACTTCTCGATTAATTCTTAAATACAATACTTATTATTTTTAATAAAGTTTTTCAAATTAATTTTTTAATTAATAATTATTCTTTTATAGATGTTATTATTGTTAATCAAAATCGAAACTGGTAAAATTTCGACCAAAAGTATGTGGTATATACCTAAGTGAATTACGTAATTTTTATTCGGTTGATACCATGTGGATAAAATTGTTTGACCAAACATTAATTATTGAAAATTTAACTGGAGATTCATTATAAGTTTTACTTAGTGGTCAACAAGAAAAAGTTGAGTTTAATATAGTTTTTTTTTTTTTTTATAAGAACTTTAATATCGAATTTTGACGAATATTGTATATATTAGGGCCTTTTAAAACATGTATAACTGAACTCCGCTCAGGATTGTTTTTCGTGAGCAATGATTAATCGTTGCTTACAAAAATCCATTAAATTCTCCTCTATATTCTATATTCTAACTTTACACCTACAACAGTGGCCCACCCATATTGCGAAATATGTTCGTCTTCTTTTTGTTTGTTTTAATATTCAGGCCATTCAGTTCAAAGCCATTATAACTCTCATTGTAATATATGGTAATATATAATGATATTATATAATCAGTGATTATTCATATTATATATTAAATACCTATCTACATGTACTAGGTAATATTATCTTAAAGTTAAAACAAACAAAATCTATACATAATATTATATTGTTATAGTCACATTACTGCGTATAGTTCAGAGTTATGAAAATTAAAAAATTATATAGGTACATTTAGATTCAGTATTTGTATGAATTGTTATATAATAATTAGTAGTTCGAATATAACGAATAATTTTAATAATTTTAAATTATAATAATCGAAGTTCAACTGCAGAAAGAAGCAACGAGAACAATAACATGAACAGTAAGAATAAACACTCAAATCCAGTAGTTACCCGTTCTCTGTCACATGAGCCCATCTCTAATCAGTAGGTAGACAAATGGCTACTCAATACATGATTATAAAAATAAATAAACAAATAAGTATAGAAATACAATATATAACAATACACAACGGCATTATTTTTATCAACCGAATAAAACTTTAAAATCTATAAACGTTCTAGTAGGACGTATATACGTATATATTATGTTACGGTAAACGTTGTGAAATGTTGTTATAAAGTGAGTTCCGCTTAATGTGATCACATTAGTTCAGGTCATTTTGATTCTATTAACCGATTGATTCCATAAAACATTTTTTTTTTTAAAGATTCTATATTTATACGTAAACTTAAAATAAAATAAAGAAGCTATCTATTTTCGATTGTACTTGAGAATCTAATTATTTCATTTTTATATTAGCTTGGAATTAAAATCCATATTCAATTAATACACCTACAATTAAAATTAAATACATAATAATGTACGTACATTTTACCTGTAACTTTTGGAACATACAATAAAAAAATACAATATAAATATATTGAACTATAATTAAAATATACAATACCATAAAATAATAAGAATGTTCATAAAAGTGATTTAACTATTCGGTACTTGGTGATTCTAATAAAAGGTTAATTTAACATTAATAATACGAGTATAAGATTTGGTTTGGGATTTTCACTTTTGATTCCAATAAACGAATGACTCTATAAAATTAGTGATCACATTAAGCGGAATTCACTGTATTTATAATTTTTTGTATATGAAAACCGATTGTGTTCTGTTAGTTTTATGGTGTATTTGTCTATTGTTAAACCTAAAGATAATAACATTGTCGGTATTTGTACGTTAGTTTTTTTCTCAATATTTTAATTTTCAAACGAGTTACGAATATTATGTAAAATATTACAATTTTAAAATCATCCTATCTCGTTTAAAAATTAAAACATCTAAAAAAACTAACGTAAAAACACATACAATGTTCTCACCTTTAAGGTTGATAATAGGCCAACATAATATTAAAAATAACGGCACAAAATAGAATAATCTATAGTCTATGGATATATAAGGAGACTGAACAGAATGACAACTTGCCGGATAGATGTTAAAGATGATTGCTAGAGTTTACGTGCAGAATAAATCATCGATCGAATACCCGGCGTTCAAACCACCGAGTTTTCACATCTCCTGACCTGAAACCTAACCTGAGCCATACGGATATGAACTTGCATTTTATTTGAATTTGGGTCTGAAGGGGAAGAGGGTAATACCGCACAGGGCGTATAGGTATTTTTAACCCCGAATGTAAAAATTCTTAATTCCGGCACTGAGTCCTTGCCCAATCAAAGTAAAAACAAAACACATTCCTAAATTTTATTCGCTCAGAATCTTAAATACAATATATATACAATATATATAGATAATAAGTATATAGTACCAAAAGCATGACTGATAATTGTTTTATTTTTTTTAAATATTATGCATGCAAATATTTGTTACAAACTGCACACAAACCCGTAGGTATATTAGTTTTTTTTTATTTATGTCGAATACAAAGTTATCAATTTCACATAATTAGCCGTTTTAAATAATTTTTATTCAACTATTTTCGCATATAATTATATGTATTATATTATATTATGTGCATTTACTATAATGATAATTATCAATTGACAATAGACAAAATAAAGTAAGCGTCAACAATTTACATTTATTATTATTGTTATGTAATTTGGACTAGTTAAATGTTGTATATATGTATAATATGTAGGTTGGAATTAATATCCGTACAAGGCGAAATTATTCCGTATAACCTTGCACATGCACCAATTAATTATACTACAGTGGTCAACGAAATTTAAATTACAGCTAATTAGTCAACATTATACATAATAATATACTGCAGTTATATAATGATGAATCGTTCACAATATCCTTAATGTTTTAGAGTCATTCGACCAACAGATCAAAATTGCATTCGATTTACAAATATTATTTTTAACGAAATACAAATTAATACACATATAATATGTTCTATGTAGATATTAAAAAATAAAAAAAAACTGTTACACTTGGGCAACTTCAAGAATGTATATTATCGGTTTTTGACAGATCATAATATGGAAGAAGGCTATCATATCATTATAATAATTCTAAGCAGGTACTTGTTGAATTTATAATACAATAATTTAGGAAATTATAACACTTATTAATGTGGATATTATAACGTTGCCTATAGTACTTACTTGTTATCATTTTGGTAATTTATTAGGCATTGATATTGAAACCCTGATGATTCCACAAAAAATTATTTGATCTGGTATCTGTTTTAAAACCTACAGGTCAAATAAGAATGTTGGGAAATGAGAATGAGTACTAAACAATATTATTTTCTTATTTTATTACAATAATTGTTATAATTTCCTAATAATAGTCGAAATTGTTGGTAACAAATACATTTTTATTAAAAGAAACCGCTAGTGTTCACATAAATAATTTGTAAGTACATTTGAGGAAAAAGTAAATTTTTCTATTTCGGAAATGATTCATTGCGGTCTTCGAATAACTTATAATATTACTGCAGTTTATAGACCTTTTTTTTAGAGAGGGGGCAGCAAATTTTAGAAAAATCGAATGCATTTGATACGTTATTTAAATAAATTTTAACCTTTGAAAATATAATACAAAATTTAGAAATTTATACTTAGATAAAAACGTATTTTGAAGCACGCAACTCATTACAAACTTGTCACCACATTGTTCTAAATTTGTTTGGAGTACCTTGATACTTTTAACGTAAAATACAATTACAAAAATATGGATTTTCATATCATTAACCTTTTTGGCATATTTGTATGGAATAGAATTAACAACCACATATATGTATACATTAATGCGGAAAATTTGTTAAATAGATACGTAAATTAATTGTTTCAATAAACAACAGCTTAATCATTACTATAGGTGCCTATATTATGATTACTTAATACTTAAAAATATTATTACTATTACTTACTTGTCGTTTTTAGGGTACGTGGGGAATTTTTTCTGGCTCAGCTCCTGTATGGTACTTAAACTCTGGGGCTCAGCGGATATACCTTGTGCTCTTTGTTTACGAGGCCTGGCGATACCGTCCAGAAGCGAGGTGAGTGATTTGGCCACAAGATTTTGACTCGGTGGAGGCGGGGTCGGCGGTTGAAACGGAACTATAGCAGGCGGTACGTGGTGGTGCATCGATAAAGTGGCGGTGGGCGATACCGGATTACTAAATGGAAACACGCTCTGAAACATGTCCAAATGGGACCGAAGTTCTTGAATTTCATTGTTCCTGGCCTGCAGTAACGTTTCCAAGTTATGGATTAACGTATCCTTGGTTTCCAGTAACGTTTTCAAGTCTTGAGCGTCCACCGAAGCCGCCATATCTGAAAAATGAAAAACGTTTGTATCCAATGAGAACTCATTAACGAAAGATAGCTATAAAATCTATACAAGTGAATATATAAATCTATTCGTCATTTAAACATGATAATAAAATTTATTGAAAACACAATATTATTTTGTATATGTTGTAATGAAAATCTCACGTGTTCATTAATTTTAAAAACAATAAATTATTGGGCAACTAATGTATAATTGGCAATACAAAATAATGTGAACTTTCAATAAATTTCACGTCATAGTCCTATACACGCGGCACGTACACACGAGTACTAATTGATGCATTGTCGAAATGAAATCATCGAGAACCTAAATATATTTTGTAATGCTTATCAGTTTTTATTTCTAATTAAAAATTATAATTTTTCAAAATATCTGGCTCCAACAGCGATCGCCAATTATATTCGGCAAAAAAACCAATATAATTTGATCCAGATTTTTTTTTTTTTTTTTTGCACATTCAAATGCAATATATAAACTTAGTACGTATAAAAAAATCAGAAAGTAAAAATATAATAAAATATATTGATTTAAAATAAATCTTAAGTGGTCGCCACACCCGCATTTACTGTATCAGTCTAACTAATTGACATAATAATTACGTTACATATAAAACATAAAATGATGAAATTAGAGTTTAAACACGTATGGAAATATTTTAAGAGGAGAATATTTCTAAAGGCAAAGAAATTTGGGGTCTGATACCCGATTGCCTTGTTTTATTTTTACATATTATACACAATTTTGTGAAAAAAACTTCCTCCCTCCTGCCATTGACCCCCGGCACCAAAACAAAAGTTATCGGTACATCTCTACAGGATAGTAGATCTAGATGTTAAGTAATAAAAGTAATATTAACCTCTTAAGTCATTCAGATCTAACAGATAATTAAAAAAAAAAAAGTAGTAATAGTAAATATTTCAATAATATTGTTTAGGTCATAATCTATGTGAACTAATTTTTGTAGGTACTTATAACTTTAAGTATAAATAATTTATTTTTAGAATAAATATCTTCATATAGTACATATAATATAGGTAAATATGTCATATAATCCTTAACAAACGATTGAGAATAGAAATATTCTATTCACTCGAATACAATTTTAAAATTAAACAAAATTTCAAATTGTTCAACACGAAATATTGTTTGGAAAATATCAGTACTTAACTGCGCACACCTATGTACACAAATGTAGATTTAAAAATAATCGCATTTATTCCTACAATTTTTTTTTTTTTTAAACGATTAAATAATGTGGTTTTTAATGTGAAAATAATTTTTTTACAATTTTAGATATGAATAACAAATGCAGTGAATTCATTAAAAAATGTTTTTATTGTTTAGTAGAATTTTCCCTGGAAATAGAGAATATATTATTATTATAGTATATTTTCTTAGCCAACAAATGTCTGTTAAAATTATACACTTTTTAGAATTTAATATCATCCCTTCTCTATGTAAACAGGAGATGAAATGTATATCCATGACTTTATAATCGACTATGGGTCTTCCTTCAATTGTCTATCTCTACTCCAACCATTTTTATACTCATATTTCACCATTAATGTTAGTATTGTATTATTATGGTAATATTCGGCTATTCATTTTGTTTGTTTTATTGTTTTACAAAGAACATTACTGTAATACAAAATACAGTGGGGGAAAATTCGGCTCTATAGAAACTGAGCTCTGCTGCTCATGGACGTTTTAATTTATTTAATAGCTTATGACTATTATACTATACAGACGACGACATTATTTTAACGTTTGATTTTAACATCGCACTGTATAAATTGACAATTACAACAAATTTAATAATACGATGATTTTATGTATTATTATCATAATAATAGGTAATATAATAAATTGTTATAATCGGTTAAATACTCGCGTATGATTCATCGTGTACCTATATTTATAATATTATGACACTTTCGAGGTTGACAAACTGTGATTTTTAAACAAATATGGATTTTACTCCAATTGTTAGGTTGATAAATTATCATCATTAAAATACAAAGTTAACAATTTATTAAAAAAAAAAAAAAAACAGTTTTTACAGTGTATACACTCTACAGTGCAGCATACAATAACAATGCATCACGTTATATTGAAAAAAACGACTTAAACATTTCTCCTTCCTGATTTTTAACAACTTGTTTACTATAAATCTTAGTTCTATCAAAAATGTATAAAAGAGCTTTTTGTAGCATTCTAGATTTAGTTAATGTGTTGATTGTTTTCTTGTTTCATTGTAGTTTTTTTAACCGGTTTTCAAAATCTTGTTGGTATATTGAGAATGTCATATTATGATTTTTCTTGCAGTTGTTATAATAATTAGGAAAAAACAAGATACATAATATAGAAAAGCCAGGAATGTTTACAGCAAAAAAGTTTCATTATTTTAGATTTTTTTTTTTTTTTTTTTTTTTTTTTATGTAATTCAAATAAGACCTGAACATCATTTACATTTTTCTTTTTTAACGTTCTAAAATTGTCAAAACATTCTAGCGATTGTATAGCTATTATTATAGCCATTTGAAATTAAAAATTATTTTGTTTTATTTGATCTGATCTTAAGGAGCAAAATTGGTTGGCCGATCAAAAATGCTTGAACATTTTACACGAGGTTCATCATATGTTATTTTTTGGTAGTTAAAAAAAAATTAAGCGTAATGTATTTAGTTTATGTATATTTTTTTAAGTATTTTAAGTTCACATTTTGTTAAAAAAAAACAGGTCATTTAAAAATATGTTTAACTTCGTTCACAATTTTTCATTGACAATGAATTAACGTTGAAAACAAATATAAATTAAATAACTTTATGTTAGCCTTTATATAATCCTACCTTCACAACTTCCTACATACAACAGTGGTTGACTCACCCATCGGCAATATAAGGTCTTTTTTAGATTCGGAGACTAGCAAGGAATGTATTGGTTTTACAATGATGTTTATTATTTTTTTATACACTATGAACTTTTCTATCAGAAATCTTGCTTTGATGAATAAGTACTTTTGCTAAAATAACATTTATCTAGATGGTACTTTATAGAAAGGTCATTTTTTGATTTTCCAAGTGGTTTTCATAAGAATTAGAAAAAACGGGAAAATTTACGTACATGTTTAAAAAAAAAACTCTGCTCCGAATCGTTTTTCGTTAACAATAATTTATTGTTGCGTTGTATTTATCATATCTCTTAACCTACAACAGTAGCAAAACCCAGTGACGTAACTAGATAAAAATCTAGAGGGAGGGCAAAATAATTTATCCATCGTAATTAAAATCCTGAGTCACCCTCCCAGTTTATTGTAAGTATTGTACATGATATTCTTTATTGTTTGATTTACACAAATCTTAACATTTATTTTACTGTTTTTATTGTAAGAAAAAAATTGTAGGTAGAAGGTACTGCTGGTTGTTAAATAATATTAAATACCAACATAAGAGTCCATTAATAAAAAGGTGCTATAAGTAGTATAAATATTATGTACACATATTTTATAATTGGTGAATATATTGCATTCTTTCTTACTTAATTTAAGAAGATTCAAAGATTTGTACTATTGTAATATCTGGGGGAGCAAAATGATACTTTGCCCCACCACAAAAATTTCAAGGGGGCAAATGCCTCTCCTCAATTACGCCACTTTGCCCACCATTCGTGCGAAATATGTTCGTCCTTTTGTTGTAATTCTGTTGGATAATATAATAACATCAAAACATTACACATTTTATGAGCTTGCAACCCTTAAAATTCTATTCTTGAAAAAATGTAAAAAGGAAAAAAATATCAGTATTGTATTTATATAGTATCGGTATGAATTGGTAGTGAAGAAAAAATATAAAAATACGTAAAAATATCAAAAATAAAGAGATACTATATTATAGTGTTGTTTGTGTGTCCAGCAAAAACCAGTTTAGTTCTGGAATTAAAAATATAAAAACACCGGTTTTGGTAACAAGGACGGCAGTTATGTAAAACTAATTTTAAAACGACCGCAACGTATATTATAGTTGCATCACTCAACAAATAATAAAATTGTCTCTTCTTTCCGTTGATAATCGTCCAAAAACGACGAATAAAACCGACAGAATTTATATATTTATAGAAATATATTATTTAAACATACACAAATAATAATTTACGTTTTGGTTTTTCGATCAAAACGCCACGTTGGCAAAATATTCTTCGCGAAAGTTAATAATCACAATATTGATAATATTATCATCATTCCATTCGCATAATCGACTGAATATTGTACAATTATTATAATGCGCTATTAAACGCGAAAATGTATTTACACGTTTAGCGCCCTAGAGCACAGTTCTTTTGACATTCTAAAACTGAATATATATTGATTTTCTACTCGAGTAAACTAGACGATAAAATCATACTATTCTAATTTTTTTTTTTCATAAAAAAAGTCTATGTCGCCCTTGTGACGGACAAAAAATCACCGATTTCGAACCACTCAATTAGAATAAGAAAAATAAAATTAATTTAAACGGTCTGCTTTAATGATAATAATCATGGGTATAATGAACGATAATGCCATCATACGCAATAATTATTATAAACTAATCTCAGTTCTGGGAATCTATATAAACGATGGATACGAGATAATAATGTTGAAAACTAACGCGTTGAGGCTATAAATATTATATTAATATTATTATTATGGAAAATGCTGCGATTTTTTTTTTTTTTTTAATATATACATTATTATCGTCAAACAACGAATAATATTAATATTAAATTCGGCGATTCGAAATAATTTTGTCGATATTTTATTACCTGATATTGAGAAAAAAAGCTGTCCTAGGATAATGGGGACGGGTGCAGCCACTATTGTAGATAGAAGTAGGGGAAGATAGGAAAATATAGATGGAAATTTAATGTATATCTGTACGCAACGATTAACCATTGCTAACGTAAATACGATTCTGAGCGAAGTTCGGTTGATAGTGTTGCTTTGTCAACAATACATAAGTCATATTATGGTAAAATAATTACATATGCATTATTTTTTTAATAATAATATTATTGTATATATTGTACCTATTTTCCCATTTTTCCTATGTTTGTTCCCGGTTTTCCCATATTTTTCCTATTTATTGGGAAAACTCCCGGGACAATCAAAAAAATACATCCCTAAAGTATTTTCTTTTAGAAAAAATTATATTATTGTAAATCGGAGTAAAATTGCTGGTTGAAAAGCTATACACAGGAAAAAATCATCATTTTAAAACCAATACATTCCTTGCTCCATTCAGAATCTAAAAAACAATTCTTATAACGCCCGCAAAATGTTGATGAATTCACAGGCACCTATCGTTTGTTGAAATCGTTCTGTCAGTTTTGGCCTCTCGGCGACGATAATAACTAGGGCTCGGAACTTATTACGCTTAAAATCCACAAAAATCCGTTTAAAAACGTTAAAAACTCTGAAAAACGATAGGAGGGCTAAAATTTCCTCTCTCTAACCGCTTTAATTTATTAAATACAATTTTCTAACGCTACACAAATTATTAAATCAAATTAATTTTTTTTATAATACGTAAAATTGTATTTAAACAAAATAACTTTTTGTATCGTGTTAGAAAATTTTATTTAATAAAGTCGTTAGACGGGGGACCTCTTTTAAACTCTTCAACCAGTTCAACCATTTGGTCTAATAATATTTACTTGAAGCGCTTTTTTTCAAAGCTTTTTTGACGTTTTTGAATGTTTTTTGGTGAATTTTAAATGCAATAAGTCCCGAATCCTAATAATTATTATAACCTTCTTTAATCGTTATTCGATTGCAAAGAAATGAAAACGGGGGATCAGCAAATAAAATAGCGATATTATACCGGTCATTATTATTGACCGATTCACAGATAGCAGATAAAATTATATTTCCCCGCACCGAACATACCGAATTCGTATTCGGGCAGCCAAAATAGAATATTATTACGAATCTAATAATTTCGGCGTCTCTTATAGCCCATGTCTGTCCACAATGTATGTTTAGCCTAGCCTATTATTTTGATCGTGCCCAGTAGGCTATAATAATATTCTATCAGGTAATATTGATAACCAATACTATTGTACTATTATTACTATACAATCGGTTTTTCGTATTTTTCGAACGGTCGATACCACCAATACGGCGATACTGATAATCAACGTTAATTTTAGTTATGTTATTAAACATATAATTATTATTATTATTAATATAAAAATTATAATTGGTCCAAAGATGAGATTTTTGTAATGTACATATGGTATAAATTATCATTACCGTACCTGATTAAATTAATTGATATATATCGTTGTAGATAAATATAAAATATTTTACTGCACGTATAACTTTAATATTTTGAAATTATACAAATGAGCGACTGCGATGAGTTCTGCTCCATTCGCAAAAAACAAAATAGTAACAAGTGTTCTGGGAATTTGATAAAAAATGTAATCACTTTACAATTTCAGTGGGTTCAAGATTCTGAGCGTGACAAGGAATATGTATTGATTTTACTATTTTGTATATTGTATGTGTGCGTTTTTTATTCTGTCTACAAACAACTTAGCTACTAAAAATCTTGCTCCGATTATCAATATCAGATATGGTTTTTTGTAGGAAATTTTTATAATTTGTGCTGGTTAATTTTGACATTAGTTTTTTACACATTTGGAAAACAGGGAAAAACGGGAATATTTAGAGATGCCTGTTATTTTAGATTTTTATTTTGTTGTAATTTACACACAGTATAGATATAGAGTCTATATCTAGTCTATATCTATTGTCTATATTATAGACAATTTTAATCGAATACTCATAAATTATCTTGGTTTTCCAGATGTGACATAATTTTCAAAAAAATTCTACTAATTTTCAACTTCTTTATACAACCATTTGAAATTTCGTTTTAAATAGTATTTGTTTTTATGTGGACAAAATTTTTTCGGTTTCTCAAAAATTAAATACAAGGTTTATCAATTATAACACTACAAAAAATTTAATTGTTTTTTTTTTTTTTTTTTTTTTAGTGTTTAACTGAAACCGAAACTAAAGGAACCGGTTCTGGAATCGGGACCACTAAAAGTAAAAAACTGGAACCGAACAGGAATTTTTATATTTTAGAAATTGAGAACCAGAATCTAAATTTAAATAATTATACGTAAATATAACAATGACAACAGCAAAAATTTCGTTATTTCAGTTTCAATTTCTTTATCGGCACCACTCTGTATATATGACAATGACACATTCAAATTTGTAAAATGTTTTTTACAAAATGGCTATTTTGAAAATTGTCTAAAGTGAATATATAGTTATTTTTTTTTTATGTTGAGGGGATGAAAATGAAAATTGAATTTATCTTTAAATCGATGGCACCCTCAAAGACAAACTGATTTAAAAAAAAAAATTGAATATAAACAATGCTAGAAAAATCCGTCGAACACGATGGAATTACAAATTTTAATAAATATGTAGATATATATAGTACTATACCTAATGAATACTTATGAGGCATTCCTTGTTATTTAATCTAGTATATAATGTATTATGTAAGCATTGATCAAATTTAATCAATGATGTAAGTCATTAGTTCTTAGGATTGGCTTTATAAAACATAAGAAGTTTAACCCCCAGCAATGCTATATTTTGAAAGATAATTTTTTTTGAAAGAACCAGAACCGATATGTATTTAAAAGAATCGAAACCAAAAGAGAAACGGTATAGATTTTTTTTAAAGAACCGAAACCTATGTATATTGTTTATCAGAACCGGTTTAATTTTTGCTGAAGAACTGGAACTGAAACGAAAACGATAAAATCAAAAGGTTCCGATCCCTGGTTTAACGTTTAATGTAAATCATAAAAGTCACACAATTTCACATACTATTTTTCGATTTACACGTATAAACTTTTATAGCTCTACAAAATTGTTCAACAAACTGAGACGAAAAAACACGAACAATCTTAATGAACATTGTATTTAAAAATAAATATTTTTAATTTAAATTTATGCTTACATTTTGTTAATATGTAATTAATCAAAAATAATGTTATAACTTATAAGTAACCTGATTATGATAATATACCGGAACTAAATAGTTACATAAATATAACTTAAAAATACATTCAAGTCATGTTTTTTTCAAAAAATTGTTTAGTACAATTTTCAATTTAAATTTATAAAAACATAAAAAACCGAACTTCATTTAAAATCGTATTTCGTTGGTAATGATTTATTGTTATGTACTTATATGAATCAAATTTACTACCCTCCTACCTTCCCAACTTCATGTCTAAAACAATGACCTACCCTTGAGCAGTATCCTGGACGAAGAACAAAGCGACGATGTACCTACTAAGCACCTACAATGTATTAGCTCTTTTTGTACGTCAGTAACACTAGAGTATTCCTCATTTATAAATTAAGATTGCAAAAATGCTTTGATGTTTTCGTGCTTTAAAGAATGCGGATTTTTTTTCCAGGTGGTACTTAAAATAACATATTCTGGTTTTTCCGATATTTTAATTTGCAAATGAGATACATGAGCACTTTTAAATTATGATATTCACATTTCACATACTACCAGTCATTCACAAAATCATATTTCGCTTAAAAATATTTAAATCTAGAAGAAAATCCGTCGTACAGATACAGAATAAAATATTCTTACCGAAGTTTTATAACAGACCTATTCACTCAAATATAAAAACTAGCAGCATAAAATCGGTCTAGCTGAACGCAAATTTGCTATGTCGTTATGTATTTGTAAGGATAGCCAGAGTCAATTAGTATCTAAAGCGGAAACCACGTCTTCTTAAAGAAAAAACTTACTTATTCAGGTATAATATATACAATATTATAATAATTAATAACATTATATTCCGAAATAACAGAAGAAAATAGAATAATTGTTATTGTTCCTATTGAGTATTCAATTATTCATATTATTATTATAATATGTCAGTCTTGTTTTAGTGTTATTACCTATATACTAAATACTTATTATTACTTATATTATCATCTATTTAAAATGAAGTTTCAAGGGCATCTTAGCTACTTGTATAATACGTAGTAATAAATTGTACAACCTTTTATGATAATTTTGTATTGCATATTGGCATATTTCCAAATTATTATACCTACACTTAGGTACATATTATTAATTTTATTCTATATTATATTTGCTCGATATTATTATTTATTTATATTAATGTTTTTTACAATTTTTCGATGGACTTGGATGGATAACTTTTTGGAATAAGTAACTTTATACTATTGATTCATCAATATTGTTGAAAATAAATTAATTTTATATTTGGCTGTGAAAAGTAAAATTTTAACGTTAGAATATAAGTTAGAATATAGAATATAGAGGATAATTTAATGGATTTTTGTAAGCAACGATTAATCATTGCTCACGAAAAACAATCCTGAGCGGAGTTCGGTTATATATGTTTTAAAAGGCCCTAATATATACAATATTCGTCAAAATTCGATATTAAAGTTCTTATAAAAAAAAAATAAAACTATACTAAACTCAATTCTTTCTTGTTGACCACTAAGTAAAACTTATAATGAATCTCTTGTTAAATTTTCAATAATTAATGTTTGGTCAAACAATTTTATCCACATAGTATCAACCGAATAAAAATTACGTAATTCACTTAGGTATACACCACATACTTTTGGTCGAAATTCTACCAGTTTCGATTTTAATTAACAATAATAACATCTATAAAAGAATAATTATTAATTAAAAAATTAATTTGAAAAACTTTATTAAAAATAATAAGTATTGTATTTAAGGACTTATCGAGAAGTAGGTAAAAAACAAATATTACGGACAAAAAACCCCACACTCAAAGAATGAACGATATTTAAAAAATGTTAAGTATAAAATATAAGTATGTATAATAAAAGTATAAATAATGCTCCCGGTACACTAGGAAATATTTTTTTTTGTTTTGAAGTGGGGTAGTAGGTGAACCATATAATTATAGCTGGTACGTATATTTGAATATTCATATTTAATATCCAAACGGATATTCATATTTGATGTTATAATTTAAGTGTTCATTCTATTTCACTTAACAATTAAATTTAAATTTCTAATTACAGTTTGCTAATCAATTCCGATTACATCTGTATTCGGTTTACATCATATATTTATATTTGGAAAATACACTTTCAATCGCAAGCGATTTCTTTACATCAGTGTTTATTAATTTTTGCAAAACATAAATTAACATTATTGGATTTTAAGACTTGTAATTCACGAGTGTACAGAAACCTAATTGCGTGGGGATTATTGTCTTTTTGGAATAAAATACAATACTCTAGTATTATAATATAGGGTAACAAATTATTTTAATAATGAAATATACTAGCGTGTTCCCCGAAATTAATGTAAATGCAATGGTTTACTCGAGCGTTCCAAGGATGTCCGCCTTATTTTAATTTTAATTATTTATTCTTCGGTAATACCTACGAAAAATAATAAAAACAAAAAAATGATCATTTATTTTAAGCGGAACAATGTAAAGACGTGTTTTTACAATTTTTTATAAGCTCTTATTATAATAGGTAAAACTACGATAACACAAAACATTTTTAATTTTATAGAAAACGTGTATAATATTATACATATATATATATATATATATGTTAAACAAAAGAAATGTTTTAAACAACGAAACTATCCAAAAAATTATTACTAAGATAATATATTAATACAATACGGTAGCCTATACTATATTAATTTTTGTTCACAAATATTTTAAAACAGATCATTTTGTATAGGTACTATTTTGAATAAACCGAACTAATGATTAATCCATAAGAAATACATTACATTTTTAAACAAATTTTTTTTTTTTTTAAAACATTTTATAGCTACATTTTAATTCAAATTTAATTACATTATATTGTTTACCGATACAGTTGTACTCTGCTCTAAGTACTCATATGTTCAATAATTATTCACTTTTAACCGCGACTAATTTATTTACAAACGATACGGCTATAATCAAATAAATTAATTTAATTATAAACCTAGGTACGCTTACATAAATAATAGTAATAACTAATAACACACCTTTGGTTAGTCATTAATATACATTTATTTATTATTTAAATAGTTGTTTTACGTATCACGAGATAGCAGATATAATTAACACGATTATTACTTCAGATAGGATATTATGTATATTAATAGGTGTGATTTGGCAGTGTGATTTTGAAAAACCTGGTAACTAGTTTAACAAACAAATTGTTTTGGCGATATTTTTACTCCAATTGTTTAATAAATGAACGCATTTTTCGACAACCAGGTTGTCGAAATCAGCAAACAATTAAAAACTACATTTACTGTCTTCGGTTACTGATTGTCCATTGATTAAATACTGTATAGTAAATAAAACATTATGACTATATTGTAACCAAGTAAAATCAACAGAAAACAATGCAGCAGACTGTTTAATGAAAATACACCTATTATTTATTTTGTATAAATCATAAATAATCTAAATATATGTATTTAAATGCACGAATAATAATATGAAATATTGCCAGATATTAGGTACAATATTGTATTATTAAAAAGTAAAAATAATGGAAAATAACATAATATAACTTTTTAGATTGCAGTAATTTTATTTGAATACCATTTAAAGATTATTATTTACTCATATATCTAATAATTTAATCGTTTACTATTATAGAAAAAAAAAAATCGATTGTTTTATACCTACTTAAAAAAAGAGACAACTCTCAGGTTTTGACTACCTATATAAACTGACTTCACAATGAAAAGATAACTCTCGATATAAATTGTTGTTTATGAGTTCAAATTTAACAAGTAAGTAGTAATAATTACAGATAATAAATATGTAACAATATATTCATTAAAATAACCGCTTATCATCGTGAACTAATGTATTATAAAGTACTGAAAACAAGTGCCGATAACATGGTTACTAAAGTACCATATTATATTATATGGAGTGGATAAGTTAATTGGAGGGGAGGAGGGATTTTCTTCTTTTTTAGACCAACACAATACTATTCATAAAATACTTTATCTTTATAACAGATATCAAACGAGCATTTCTGAAATCGTTTTTCAAATACAATGATTTCATCAAAAAAAAAAAGTCGGATATACTTCGCTTTAGAATGAATAGGTCACTGTTGTAATTAAGAAATTGGAAAGGTATTATATACAATGTAATGTTTTTAATATAACGTTAAATCAGTTAAGTTAATAAGTTTTCCCAATTATTATGAAAACCGATTGAAAAATCAATGTTCTTCTTAAAGTACCAACTAGATAAAATTACCTTCCAGAAAAGATGCTGTACTTAATAATACCGGAACATAATTTCTGTTAAAAAATTTGTTTACAGAATATAGGAAAAAAAAAATGAATATCATTGTAATGATTGCTAAGCTCCGAATCTAAAAATGATAGAAAATAGAAAAATGAAAAATAATAGTAAAAGCAGTTTCAGCATTAATTACATTAATATTAAGTTATCTCAAACAAGGTAACCCAGATATCAACAATAACAATATCAATGTGTCGTCATTTTTAATCAGGGTTTTTTAGAACTTCCAAGTAAAACTGTAGAGAATCTAAAAAATTGTTTCAGATAAAGAACTACCGAGTTATCCGCATCTGTTATCGTACAATGTGAATAATTTGAAGCATTTTTATTTGTCAAGAAAAAATAAACTTTAGTAAAACCAATAGCGTCTTCATTACCTACACCTAGAATCTAAAATACAACACAATCAAACATGCGTAAACTGAAATCGAAGATCTCATAGAGAATTTTGTTTTTAGAATGAGGGGTAAAAGCGATAATAAGAGTAAAAGGCCAATACACGATCACTTAAGATTGTTAGTTTATGTGATTATCACTCGTAATTGCCGGTGAAAATAGATTAATGTCATTATTTATTTGTTTTTGAATAATTGTTAAATTTCAAAAAATTTGTTTGTAAATAAATAAACGTGTGTAGTAATAAATGATACGCATGATCAGACAAAACAAATTTTCTAAATCTTAATTGCGTACAAAACAATTATTTTGATCATATCCTATTTTTTCCCTTTGTTTCTTTTCTTTTTTTGAATTATCTCTTGTTTAAAGCTATGATTATTACAATGCAATTTCCTTATATTCATATTAATTTAGAATTTAGAACAATTTTAATGTACTAGCGGTGTTCATTATAAACAATGAAAATTAAAATTCATAAGACTGTCAATCACAGAAACTAGAAATCTTGAATGATCATGTATAAGCAATTGAAAAAATAGGTATTTCATGAAAAATTTAAAGTAAAACAAAATTTAGAAGACCCTGTATACACAATGCCAAAATTGTACGTGACATTAAATTTGTTCAGCGGCCAAATAACCCATATAATTTATATCATAACTATTATTATAGTCGTTGGCTATTAGTCGGGTAATATATAGTAAATTCGAAAATTCGTGTTTCCTTGTGGCACTAACAGTTGTAGCCGATGTAGGTGTGAAATTTATTTCTGATTTTATTTCAGAAAATCATACAATTTAATTTCCTACTCGTAGTGAGAAATAACACTAAAAAGTAAAAAAAAATACTCTATATAATTTAGAGTATAACGTTTATTATAAGTTACACCGATACCTAAATATAAGATTTGTGAACACAAATAACTTAATAATGTAAAATTAAATATTTTTAGATTATTGCGTTACGCACGCAATTTTTTTTTAATTTCAACGGCATATAATATACGATACGTTTAGGTATTCGTATAATAATTCAGTAAAAAAAAGAAAAATGATAAACTATATAAATAGGTATAATCTCGGGTATAATATTGTATTTAAGTAAAATTCTAATCGTGTGTTTCTATATTATAGGAACCTATTTAAATTATTTTTTTACCATATGAACTATTATTACATTTCTGTTGTAATATAAATCAGAAGAAAAAAAAACACTCAAATAAGATTAAAAGGAAAAAAAAAAAGAATTTGTTTTGTCCTCCACAGTGCCGGTGCGTCAAGCAAAACAGATGTTATTATATTATTATTTATTATTATATTATTTTTGTCCACCCTATTAAAATATGAAATAGTCATCTGGTACCGATTACGATGATATTATGGTTTTCGAAAAACGAGATATTATCATACTGCATACAGGATATTACAACACTGCAAGGACATTAACAGATAATATTTTATTTCATTTGTATTATGAATCTATTGAAGAAAACATTTTATACCTTACACTAGTTAGTTACACACTGCAAATACGAATTTTAAGAGCCTATTCTATTGACGGGTGTGCCACTGTTTAAGGTGGGAAGTTGGTAAAAAGTATGCGACAAAGTTATATGATTTATAACGCAACGATAAATTATTACTGAATAAATGCAGTAGTTTTTACGATTGTCGTCAAAATTTAATCTTAAAACGCTTACAAAAAACGTTTTTTTTCCCCCAAAAAAACACGAAAAAAAAACCAATTTCTTACACACAAAGTAAACAACTTTTTATTTCTGAAAAGATGCTACTCATAATATTTACTCACGAAAATCGAAAATATTTAAAATGTGTAAGGTAATATTAACGCGTAAATATTTATCTATTTAATTTATACGTTTTTTCCCTGTTTTACTCAATTATTATTTGAAAAATCAAAAAAATGACATCTTCATTACGTCAACTAAATGAAAAATGCAACAAGATAGGTTTCTTATCTTTTTTTGATGGGAGCACAATTTCTGGTAGAAAAAAGGCAAAAAAATAAAATGATCACACATCATAGTAAAACTAATACATTGAACAATGTATTACATGTATAGAGAAATATAGCATCTCGGACTTGTTCTAAAAATGTCCGAATAATAATATTATTGCAATGTTTACAACGATTTTTAATGAGACATAATATAGGCAATAATAGTATGCCATAGTTCTATTTTATGTTAATATGATAATATATTATCTCAACATTCTGTACCTTGATATTTATTACGAAACTCATATACCTATTTGTCAAGTTCAGAAAATACGAGACAAAATATAAACCTATAGTCGATAACTTTAGAAAAAAAGTTATACAGATACAATAAAAAATCTTTAATGAGAAGAATATTTCGAATGGCAATACGGTACATTTAAAAAAACAACAATGTACCTAACCTAACCTTAAAAAATAATATTCAGTTAAAATTTGTGTGATTTATGTTTTACGAGTAACTCTATTATTTCAACCTAAACGACATCAGGATTTATTTTCCATTATTGCCATAATTTTACCCGTTAGACCGATAATGAAATTTTGATACAGCCTATCCTCATAAGAAAATATAATAAATAAAATAATAATAATAATAATTTAGACTGTTTGAATTTTTTAATGACATTTTCGATTTTTTTTTTCTTTATTCCCTCAGAGAGAGAGAAAGAGTATTGTATTGATTTTACTATGATGCGTTTTTGTTTCGTGTTTGTAAACAAATTTTTTTACCAGAAATCTTGCTCCAATCAAAAACTTTTCAAGAACTTTCTTGAAGAATTATTGATCTAGCCAACTAGATTGGTAGCCAATTGGTAAATCGGGAGGTTATTTTTTGATTTTCCTAGTAGATTTCTAAACGAATGGGAAAAATTATTACACCTATAATTTTTGTTAAATTCTGAGTTGCATTGTCAACAAGAGGGAATATTAAGACTAAAAATTATTGATTCACTGCTTAGAATCGTTTTTTCATTAACATCGGTTTATCGTTGGGTACATACTTAAAGTAAATTACTCTAGATAATATCATATCTTCCCACTTCCCTTCTAAAACCCATCAGCACCATCGGCCTTCTTCTTACTTTTTTTTTTTTATAATCGTACGTCAAGCGCGTAAAATAAAATGATGCATTTTGAACCGGTTCCCATACCGAGTTCACAAAATTCTAATAGCCACAGCGTACCTACTGACAAACTACAGTCCAGTTATACAGTTTACAATAATTTTATTATCGTATCGTATAACAACACGGTGACGTTATTACTATTATTATGTTATACTATATTATTCAGGAAATCCGCCAATTGAGAGACCGACGACAATAATAAGTGACACGGCCAACAACAACAACAATAATAATAATAAAATAAAATATAATACAATATAACAATAATAATAATAAAAAATCGCGGTGACCACGAATTAATAATTTTTACCCGTCGTCCGTCGCTACAATACGTATACAAAATAAAATAAGAGCTACTTTTACAGAAATTACCATAGAGTCGGTAATGTCGCAAACACCTACCTACCCGATAATACGATTATTTGATATTGTTTCGTTTCGGACACACTCGGACGCTTGCATAATTTTTCACGGCGGCCCGGCCGAGGAAACGTCAGGCGGTGAGGAGGGGAGGAGGAGCCGAGAGCGTAAAGAAGAAAAAAAAATAAAAAAAATAATAATAACAATCGTGTGTTTTTTCTAATCGTAACACCGACGATAGTGGCGGTAGTGGCGGTGCCGGTAGTGGTAGGTGCACGGCGCACCGGTTTCTCGGTCACAAAAACACGGCTGAGACCGCGAAACGCGAACGCGGGCCGCCGCGACGCAATTGTACGGCGCGAGGTGTGCGCGCGCGCGGTACTCGCGTCCGTCACGCGGCCGCCGCGGAGTATGTGCGCTATCGCGGCCGATACGGGCCCCCGGCGCGTACCTGTAAAAATAGAATATTTACACCTATACAGTATTATTATCACGGTGGCGATTGTAACGAGAAAAAAAAATATCGACGACGGGACATGATAATATTAATATAATGTTATTGTTGCGCGCCGGCGTGTAAACACGACGAAAAGCAACAAATGGGAATAAATCGTTCCCGAAACCGCGAACGATACGTAAAACGGGTGGGGGCATCATGAGGGGGGGGGCCGCGCGCTACCGTTCTCGACCGTAGTAAATACTTTTCTAGGTGTTTTTTTTTGTTTTTTTGTTTTTTGGCTTCGACCATTCTCCTCCCCTCACCGACCCACCGCCACACACCCCTTAGAAATTCGTTGGGAACTAAATTTCTGCGACTATAATAACGACGACAATTCGATTGACAAATAGAACAATATTATAATTTTGTACAGGCGGCGGCGGGTTTTTATTATAATTCTTATTTTATTTTTTTTTTTTACCTGCGGACGGTACGTCGGACTGCAGTTCTCGCGTCATCGATTCTTGCGCGTCGACAGACAACACGTCAATCGCGGACGATATACTGAGGTTATCGTCGTCGTCGCGGCCGTAGACGTTTTCTGACGGCGGCGACGTCGCGATCGTCGTCGTCGACGTCGTCACGGTGGTCGGCACTACTCCGGTAATCGTCGTCGGTTTTTTTCGACCGGGCCACGGAACGCACCACTGGCCGAAACACAGTCTCATAAAGGCGGCCACTTTATAAGCGCGCGCACATTACACGCGAACGGACGCGATTTTATTATTGTTAATAATTATAACCGACGACGACGACGACGACTACAAATACCGAATACCGAATAATAATAACAACAACGATAGGTGAGAATTATAAAATTCGAAAACGGAACGAAAAACTCGCCCGCGATCTAAAACGTGTTTATTATTATTATTATTATTATTATTTTTTTATTATTTTTTTTTTATTATTATTTTTATTCTCGCAGTGTCTACGTAGCAGCGTTACGGGAATTTACAATCGCTCAGTTGTAATATTATTATAATATGAACGAAAAAAAAAAAAAATAAAAGAACCAACAACAATAGTAATATCGCGGATACGACGCGCGCGCGCCACAGACACGTGTGCCACGGCGAAAACCCCGTACGTATTCGACGAAGCGACAAAACGAATACGACCACTACACGCGGTACCGGTCCGACTGGCGACGGTGCCGCGGCTCAGCGGCTGTGGCAGTCGCATCTGGGAGACTTTGATCGCTCTCGCCGGTCGGCGGCCGTGCCAACGACGCGCGCAGCGCTACTAATTGAACGCCGTCTACGTCGAACGGCAACGCCGCGCGCCGCGTCGCGTCGTTCGTTTCGAACGTTATTCGCCCGTGTTTCTTGTATTGTATTTTCGTCCGTATCGGAATATTATTATTGTTATTGTTATTATTAATTTTTGGCGCGGACAACGGTGAATAATCGTATTACGCCCTGGAAACAATAGAAAAAAAAAAAAAACCCCATCGATTGTGCGGCGATTATCGTTATTCATACACCGGTAAAAACTACGGGAATATGTCCTTGAATTAATGGGCTGTTCGGGCGGTTTGGGGTTTCGAAAACGTGCGATTTCGGTTTCGGTTAACGCGCGGGCTTGAACCCTTTTCCATTAGACTTTTGCTTCTCGTGTTATTTTTAAGAATTAGATAACAACGATTAGACGACAACTCCGAAACTGTTTATAAACGTACGAATTGATATTATTTCCAGAAACGACAATAATATTGAAATGTTATCGACATTCCAGATGTAGTATTTGCAATCTACATCTATTTTGATACAATAATGGGAAATTAGAATTTATGCTATGTTTTATGACGAAGTTGCTGTACTATTAATATTAAAAAAATATTGTTATACTATACTGACATCATGACTCATGAGCTGATGAGATCAGTGAGATGTCTAACACAGCGACACTATTATTGAATAATTTATATACGTTTATATATTTCCACATAAACATAAATTAAAAAACATATAAATGGTTTCTTTTCATATTCAGGCGATCGCTGTCACAAAGGAAAAAAACGATAAGGTGGAACAAAACAATGACTACCTACGACGATTGGCGATATTATTTACGTAAATATATATTAGGGTGCCTTTAAGTTTACTATTGTGATTTTTTTTTGTCGTAAAATTTGCCTAACCCCCTATTCGTTTAAAACACCATCCCGAAAAATAGTTGCAAAATTTGAAATAAATCGTTAAGGTTTGTCATGCACTGTGGCACTAAAAGTCAAGTAGTTTTGTAATAACTTTTACCTAAAAAATTGTGTTCATTGTGCTGTAAATGTTTGTTTAAAAATTAAAAGCACTTAACAAATTGTTTATTGTTGTTGAGCATTTCAAAAATCCTATTTTTAACGCTATTTTATTATTTTTTACCGACAAAGTTTGTAAATCTGTATGAGGTACTGAGGTATGACTGGTATGAAATAGTAGTTGGTCAAATGTCAACCACTTAATCGTGTGCTGCGAGTTACCGAACAGATGGAATACATGTTAACAGATTTACAGAGTGGAAATCCAAACAATTATAAATTTTTCGCCAGTTTCTAAAATTTTAAAATTTTAAAAAACACTAAAAAGTATAACTCTATTGTTGACAATTTCCCGAAAAACCAGAGAGAAGAGAATATACTTTAGATTGCATTCTCCCAGGACAATCTAAGCATGTGAATTTAATATGTTATATAAAAAAAAACACTTAAAATCCCAAAACACGCACTGTACAAAAGAAATTACGTTGTTAAAAAAAAAAAATTTATCATAATATATTTGAATATTTTATGGAGTTTTATAAAGTTGTTTTCACATAAATTGAATACTATTAATGGTAATACTACGTAAAAGTAATACTATGTGATTTTTGTCAAAATTTGAGTTTCAAACGCTTATAGAAAAAATAGCTGATACTTCCAATAGGTGTCTCACTGTTTTGGAAGGGAAATCGAATGGTAAGATAGAGTAATTTAATTTATATCTATATTCTATTCTTAACGATAAATCATTGCTAATGCGAAATACGATTCTGAATAAATTTTGGTTAAACATCTTTTGAAATGCCGTGATTTTTGCGATGTTTGTTAAAAGTTGAACTTAAATAATCTTATACAAATTACTAGATTACGCTCAACTTTTTTTGTCAGCGTAAACAACTTACGATGATCTTCATGTAAAATTTCCAAATATTTTGACCGCCTCTGTCCTCTGATTTTGATAATTAAAGGAAAATTTCTCGTCGAAAAGTACATTACAGACAGAAAAAAAAATCACACATCAGTATTCAATTCATATAATTTCCGTTTATATCCAAATTACTGAAATGCGACAAAATAATATTGAGTTTTAAAAAACAGTATTATTGTCATTATAATAGGAGTAAATTATTGAATACAGATAAATCGTAGTATAATACTTTTAATGTTCATAATCATTAATTACTTCATATTATTATTGTTGACAAAAACAAAAAAAGAACGATTCTTTTTAAAGTTATATTATATATTATAGATAGATACCTCTATTTATTAATTATAAAATAAATATTATATATTGTTAAAAATAGTGGTAAATGCTTTAGAAATGAAACAGAGAGAAATTACGTATAAATAAACAGTGCAGACAGATTCAAACCATAATTTTTTTTTGGTAGATTATTGTTAAAACCCCTAACAAGAAAGAAACTTCGGATTCATATATATATTATACATTTCTAAATAATTGTATTAAGACTTTATAAAAGTATACTAATACTACAGTGTTTGGGGGGGGGGGAAATGACCACATTTCCCCCTTAGGATTCATCACTGTAAAGTAAACAAAAAGACATTAAATAAAAATAATGAAAGAAAGTTACAAAAAAAGTTTCAATATTGAATTCATATTAATACATCTAACATTGTTACTCGTATTATTATAAAAACAAATATAAATTATAGACTATATCTACAAAACGGTTATGGGAAAATATAAAATATATTATTATTATAATGTTGTATAGTTGTATCTCTTGGGTAGCTACGTTTTTATAAATAGACGTTTCCTTCTCTAATTTATGTTATATAGTGACTCTAGTGAGTACTAATAATGTGTATCGGAGAAGATATTATAATTGGAAATACGTGTTCGTACATGAGTGTCAATTTAAAACATCCGTAACATTTAATAATAACAATAAATTGTCAGGGGACCCAAGACTAGTTCGTAAACGTTACTCAGTAAAAATAAAAAATAATAATGAAACCCTGTATAAACCAATAAGAGTAAAAAAAACAAACCTGAATGGAATTCGGTTAAACACATTTTTGTTGATTTATATAATACAGATTAAATTAAAAAACACAATAAATAATCCAAAATTTTAAGATCATAAAAATATTTTATCATATTTTCCATGGTTTTTTCCTAAAGCCAAAAAACATTTTTATTCACATAAATTGAATCGTGAACGAAAAAAAACCATCAACAATTGATCTATAAATTGTCTATAAATAATACACGTGAAGAGCCGAAATACTTTAGGAATGACATTAACTTTTAAAAATACTAATTTAAAATTATTCAGTGAAAATGTCTGCACCTACGATTATTTCTCACTGAATCACAATAAAAACAGAGTTATTATTAAGCTCTCTATAATATAATATGTATAGGCTGTAAACTGTATGTCTATTTTAAATTTCCGAGTTTTTCTTGGTTTTTACGAGGCTACAACTCTTTGACTGCATACAAATGCTTAACAATTTAAAATAATAAAACACGGACTATATTGTATTTTATATTGTAATTTAAAATTAATACGATTTTTAATTTTATTTTATTAGAAATGATTTAGCCAAACTTTGATCAGAAACATTTTTCATTTGCAATGTTTTTATTGTAGCATAATTTAAAGGAATTATCTACCTTATATTCAATAGTCAAACTACCTTCCTAATTTGCCACCTACACAGTCAATAGTTGCCCGCTCATAGTGCAAAGTATGACTTTTTTTTATCACCTTAAGTTGTCCGCTATCTTATATATTATAAAATTTAAATGTCTATTTGTACGACATAAAAATCTACAGTATTTTTCCACTAGGCACACTTGACATTCAAAGCAAGAATACGATTGCTGTCTACTTTTTATCTAGAAATGATCATCCCTAAAGGATGACTGACACAGAATTTTAGACATTTTTGGAACGAAAATTGAACTTTGTTTTTTTGTTTATGAGTTATCTTGACGACACGGATGAATAAAACGGTAATTATTATTTAATTCAGCTGTTAAAGACAAGAAAGTCCCCTTTTTATAGGGTAATATTACCGGGCAACAACGATCAGCTACAATGTGGATAATTACGGAGACGGGGAAACAAGTTATATTTAATTTATTTTATTGGTTTCTGTTTTTGAAAGGGTTGAGCCTGGGAAATATCTGGAAATTCAGCTATGTAATTATAATAACTAAACAAAATGCAAAAATAGTCGACTTGAATCTCCCGAGTTCTAACTCGTGTCTATTTTTTATGCTAGACTAAAATAATATAAATATTCGTATAGTTTTATACGTATACAAAAGTAATTTATTGGAACTCGTCCAAATTATATACCAAAAAAAAATTTAATGCACTCCTCGATATTATTTTCTTACGTAATAATATCTCTAGATAAAATAAATATTTC